CTCTTCGTCGATTACAATTTGCGCGATCATTTTCCAAAGTAAATGCCTATGAGTTTTTTCGGAAGTTATTGCGCGCACGTGAGAGCGCGTATGCCTGTTCCCCGAACGTCGACCGGCCGAATCGAAGAGGAGAGAACGACGACTGGAATATGATAGCTGTGTTGCTGGTGTTGTTGCTGATGTAGTTGCTTTTCATCGAATGTCGCGCGGCAAGCTTGCGGCAGTTCCGGCGCGACTCGTGCGGCATGACGCATTCCATTCGCTGTTCATTAAAATAATCGATCGTATCGTTTAATATTAATATTAGATATTTATGTTGGGTCCCAGAGGTTACTGAAACAAAAAGAAAAGTGGAAAATGTTCCGCTGTTAATTTCCCTGTACGATTACATTACCTAGTTAATATAAAGGATAGAGAGAAAAAAGAAAAAAATTCTAACCTAACCTAAAATGTACATAGCTTCGTATTTTTTCTCTTTTCTTCCTCTTTCCTCTCTTTTCCCTTTTTCTTACGGAAAATTCATTTGTACAATATCATGCTTCGCATTCGATCGATTTCTCTGTCAGTATCCTTTATCTCGTTGTCTTTGAACAAATAACGTGATACGAGCTACGCGCTCCGTTCTTTCGCGTCTCGACTGATATACTACAAGTCACGATACAACGAGGTCGTAAATTAAATCATCCAGAAGCGGCATCGACTGATGCCACCGCGCACTTTAAAATTCTCTACAATATAAAAAAAATGACTTAACGTAGCAATACTTCATTTACAAATATAAACTAGCTGCGAATATTAATTAATATTTCGACAAATTAAAAACCCAAGAAAGAAAAATAATAACGTAAGTATAAATTTTTCTTTCGATATTAATTTGTACGAAGCATTGGCACTGGATTAAACGTTCCTTTTTCGGCCCTGATCGAGATTTCAGGTCCTTACAAGTTTACTTTAACTCCTGGCTGATTTTACGAGCTCGCTATAACCGTGGACTATACGTTATAAAGAAAAGTATTTGTCCTGCGCCTCGCAGCATGCGCGCGCGATCCAAGCACGAGGGACGCGCGCAACTATAACGTCGTGATTAGTCATCGTGGCAAGCTGATACATCGAGCCAAAGCGGTCGACTGAAATTATGCGAGAATGACTCACTTATGTGCGTGTCGTTTCGTACGCGCGGAACAAATCTTTGAATTTCACCCTTTACTTCGTACTTGAAAATGTGTTCAAAAATTAGACAGCGTGAGTTCTTATTTAAAATTAACAGCATATAGCTTCCACGACATAACGAGGTTAGAAAGTCGGTCGTGAGCGTTAAAGTTTACACTGATTGGACGAATCGACGGAAATCTGACAGGAGACAAAAGCCCAAAATCAAAGACTGGGTTCACACAAAATATAAGCTTAGCTTTAGTTCAATTGAAAAGCGTAGAATACTGCAGCATATTATGATGCCAATTGCTACCGCTACATAATACTTTAATTTATCACCTCATTATATCGTAGTGACTATTGTACAGACGCGACAAAGGTTCAATGCTAAAACACCATACTCCAATGATAGATACGTACGTATATACCAACCTAATAGCCGCAGGACACAAGGTAGTCCCCGAGTTTTTCAACGACCGATGCGGCTTGCTGTGGCTGTATAGGGTCTTCGTAAAGAGAGACAACTACCGTTTGCATCGTCTTCATGCAGTGGACGCCGACTTTGCCAAGTTTTGCCCTTATCACTCGATCCGTACCTGACAGGTAAATGTACCTGTTGCCGGCCAAGGTGACACCCGACGACGTCAGAATGTCCTGCTCTTCGAATCCCTGGACCAATTTTGTCAACTCCTCTTTACTTACCTATGCACACAAATCGTCATACGTTCGTCTTTGTATAAATGCCAATTTAAAACAAAATAAACATATACAAAAAAAAAGAAAAAAAAATTTAAAAAAAAGAGGAAAAATACCAAATGAGATTTTGGCGATAGAAATTTTGTAGTCTTCTATCATTATCTCACTCGTGCATACCATTCCCTACCTACCAAAAATTTTACCCAATTTCGTAACAATCGGTTGGTAGAGAAAAATAAGTAGAACTCATCCGATATAATTGCCAATCATATCGATGCGGAAACGACTTTAAGATATTGCATATTACCCTTATTATTATTGGTTTGCACTCGGAGCGTAGCACACAAAGATATAGGTAAGAATTTCGTATGTGTCAAAGATAAAGAGAGTCCAGCAATCGTGATAAAACGAAATAATCATTTCTTCTTGCGAAAGCACTTAGACCATACGCATAGAAAACATATCTAGACCTACAATCATTTTTGATAACGATTCGCGTCATCTAGAAAAAATATCACAACACGTGATACGCACTACAGATGCACAATAATTGTTGCCCACCTCGCAAACGACAGGCAGCAAACCTCATAACATTCAAGTTTTTCTTTATATTATGGTAAAAAAAAAACGCGTGTTTAGCGTAGTTAGTAATATTTGATAAAAATTTCCAATAATAATAAAAAAAATTAAAAATTAATGAAATGTTTGATCATCCTAATTGGATGTTTACGTTTCAAGGTCAATTTTGAATTATCTCACATTAGATGAAAACAGATACTTGTTTACAATCGTAATAGGCGACGTTTACACCTAACGCGTCATTTACAAAGTATAATTTTTACCAGAAAGGATTTGACAGTAGCTGCACGTCGTCGACCTCGTGACACTTTTGTTTAAAAATAACTAGAAACGGTAGTTTTAGATTTAGATTAAAACTACCGATACGATGATCCTTAAATCAACATTAACTTACTGACTCACATAAAAGATTACATTGCAGTTAAAAATTAATCTAGAAAAAAAGGTATTCAAATTATTACACTTTCGTTTCCTCTTTCTATCTCGTTACTTTACTTGTTAACTCTGAATCACAGGTTATTTAACTAATCTATGCTGATTAAATCATTGCATAATCTAATTAAAACGCGTTATGTATCTTTAAAGCGAAATAGATTATAATGGAAAAAACTATAAATAAAATTAGAACAAAAGAAGATTTTATCAGAAATTTGATCGGGCGCCAAAACGCCCATTTCGCGACTCCAGGTACGGTACTGTGGGAGGTTGCTGCCCGGCCGGCATCGCCATTTTGGCATTCGTAACCGGAAAGTGTGTGTGCGCGCCCGAGGCCACGGTGCAGCTGGCGACCTTTATCTCTACGTTTCACCGTCTCTCCGCGTAAAACCTTTCTTCGAATCCAAGAAAGAACTGCTTTACCTTGTAACCGAACACGCTTCGCTCTTGCGTTGCCTTTCTTTCTCAGAAACACTGGAGCGGCCGGCGCTCGTCCACATTTGATGGAAATTTGGTCGTCGCTGTTTGCAAACCATGTACGCCCAAAATCATCTTTCAATTTTGCCCGCAACTCGAGACTATGTTGCAAGCATAGTATATAAAATCATTAAGAAATTATGATTTAGAAATGATAAAATGTACAATAAAATCCAAAAATTAATTGATATGTTGTCAGTTAATCAACAAAAATTAGAAAAGAAAAGATGTATATATTTAGAGGAAAAACCTAACGATCTAACAATTTATACAATGAATATTAAACAAAATTCAAGTCAGCATGTAAAGAAAAACTTAACCCCCTTAGGTTCTCTGAATTTGCTCATTCCAACTTTTTCAATGTTTCTAACCGTCCCCCTCGGTCAACTTCATTTCACTAGCACACGCTAATTCGAGGTCCTTAGAATTTACCGACACGATTCGCAAGAGCTTTTTAAATGCAACGCGGATGGCGCGTCGATCGGGCTCAACTTTTCTAGAACTGTCTCCAATCGCTTTTCGTAATGTTAAACAATTTTACTTGATATGTTGGCACAAAATAGGACAAAGAACGACAAAATCTCAAGTACTCGAATACGTCAAATCGCAAAATAATAATATTCGAAAATTCAAACTATTCGATGTCTACTAAACCTCTATCGTATATGTAACAAAATTTTTATTTCTTTTTACAGTCTTATATTTTATTATAACTCAACGAACATTTTAAAGGCAAAAAAGATAGAGAAAAGATAGTAAAAGTTGATACATCGAACATACACGTAGGCGTCTCTCTACGTATGTACGTCTTTCGATAACAGAGAATCGCTTCCGAAGATATGAATCATGTCTCGTTTCGAACATCAATGTTAAAATTTTTCTTCACTTCGAAAGGTAAATATATGCAACATAAGTGCTGAAAAATGTTATGGATGAATTGGCTTCAATGAGCAATAAAAACTACCACTGAGAATAGGAGCCACCATTTCCATGGGCGGCAGCGGCAACGTGCCCGGCAGGCAGCCATGTTAAACTTAGTCGAAAACCGTTCAAGTTCGACCAGGCAAAATTTTCTGTAGTGAAAATTGCCACACCCAATCTTGTCACATTACTTTTTTAACCATATGAAGAGAATTTTTTTTTAAACTCGAGAGAAATAAGTCCATTCGCTTATTCTGCGATTAGTTTTTTCAATCGATTCGGCAATTTAGACGATGTATCTACCATGGCCGGTTCCCTGCTGCAGACATATTTGGGCGGTGGACAAAAATCCTCGAGAACATAGTCAATAAACAAAAATGTTGATTGTTGTCGATTGAATGGTAACAAGTTTAAACTATATCCAATAACTTAATCTCGAATATTACTTGATCTAACCGGCGTCGGTAACACGAGGGGACAACCATGCCGGGTCAACACGCGGAACTTGAAGGATTTTTACCATTTATTACACACACGACAATGTATAATTTCCTATTTCGTAAAAACAAGATATGCCGATGATTACGTGGCATAATTTTTTCACCATGAAACTGTCGAAATTTATCAGATTATTTCGCAAAATTCACTTTCAATTCCAATAGAACATATTAAAACTCGTGCGTGCTTAACCATTACATGTAAAATTCTATCACCAGTAAATATATACATTAAATACTAATCACTAGTATATCTTCTACCCGCGGTGAAAAAACGCAGAAAGATGTTCGATACTCGATCAATTGCAGTGGACAATAATTAAGGAAAAACTAAAAAGACGAGAAATACCAAATGCAAGCTACTACTACCATACATTTAAATTTTTTTCAGGTATATTCAGTGCGTACTTTCCCTCTTGTCGGCTAGCTAATAATAAGCTTCCGAGGCGTTAGTCGAACGATATACTCACTTCGAAGCCTTCAGACTTTGCCCAAAGATTGCCATCATGCCCCGCAATCGCAGCTTTGGTAACACACCTAGACGCGACCAGCTGCTTGTCAACGTAATCCTGCCAGCTCATTTTTTAACACAAGCGGCTCGACTCAATCGTTCACCACGCCACTAAAGACACAACCCGTCACCGACTGACTCTTCTCACGACTACCTATATGCGCTGAACGCCGGCCACACTTCTCTCTCGCCCCTCCTCTCGTCTCTTCCTGGTTAGTAGCGACCCCTCTTGGCCCCTCCAGACTCACGGGTGCCGATGATCGTGTTCTCCCCACTCTCGATAACCGGCTGGTAATTGACTACCGAACAGTTGTGCCAACTTATAGATTTAGCAATCGATATATTGAAATCTCGATGAGTCCTCGATATTTACAAAATTGTATTTCTTCATCTTATTTTCTTTTCGCCGTTTTATTTCAATTTTCAAATATAAATTTTGGTATCATCTTTCTTCTATTGCCCACATCGTTTTATAAGAATTTTTATTCTCCGTTTTAACTTGTCATATTCTTCGTGACTGGTCTATCGATTATAAGGACTAATCTGAAGGATTTTAAAACTACGCTTATCTTACATCGAAATCGATATATTTTAACTAATAAAATGACAATATAAATTTTTTATATTTCATTTTCCTAGTTAATCTTTATTGTTCTTTCTAGTAATTTTTGTATTTATATTGAACAAAGAACATTATGGCGACCTCTTTACATCAAGTATCCATACGTATTTACAACATACGTACGTGTATATGTACGTATTATGAGAATAGTTCGCACGTGCTGTACCGTTTTATTTTTTAATTAATTTTAAACAATGTGAATAGTAAATTTAACACACTTTAATATTGTTACATGACATCTATTTTAAAATGCAGGTTTCTTGTCCAAACGATGTAAAAATATATAACTTGAGTGCTGGAAAATCTCTTCCAGAGGTAAACATACATCTTGTTAGTTATTGTTATATAAAACTTAATTGTATATTGATTTTTAATTTTTATTCCATTAGTGGTTGTCTGAACGCAAAGCACGTAGCTTATTAAAGAAAAATGTCGGTAAGTAAAGCAGTAGTTTGATAAACTTATTACAAAATATAATGGTATTATATATAAACATTATTTATAAGTCACAATAATATTTTGTTAGATATACGACGTCGAATCGAACTTATCCAAGATTTTGATATGCCTGGTGTTAGTACTTCCATCAAAGTTACAAATAATGGTCAATATATTTTAGCGACAGGTATATATAAACCACGTGTGAAGTGCTTCGATGTAAAGAATCTATCTTTAAAGTTTGAAAGATGTTTTGATTCTGAAGTTACCACTTTCGATATATTATCAGATGATTATAGTAAAGTATGCAAATATATTTATATTTTGTATTGCATTGTATTTTTGTAATTAAGTTTAATGTTTGATCATTTATTTATTTTTTAGCTGGTATTTTTACATTGTAATAGAAATGTTGAGTTCCATGTTGCTCATGGAAAATATTATATACTAAGAGTACCTCGTTTTGGAAGGGATATAAAATATCATTACCCATCATGTGATCTTTTTGTTGTGGGAGATAGGTGCACAATAGTTTTGCTTATAATCTTTAGTTAAGATTATAAATACTTAAAACATACTTTCATTAGCTTGTATTGTGTTACAGTAATGAGATTTATAGAATAAATCTTGAAAGAGGACAATTTTTGCAGTCTTTTTTGACAGAGGCATCAGCAATAAATAAGTGTGAAATAAATCCTGTACATCATCTTCTTACTGTTGGAACAGAAGAGGGAAAAATAGAAGCATGGGACCCCAGAGTTAGAAATAAAGTTGGTGTTTTGGATTGTGCTTTACACTGTGTTGGACAAGATAATAAGTAAGATAGTATAATAGAATGTATAGCTTCAACAAAAATTCTTCACATTTTCAAATTTAGTATTTATTTTATTATTATTTAGATTAGAAACAGTTCCTGCAGTTACTAGTTTAAAATTTCATGGAAGTTTAACACTTGGAGTAGGTACATCAACTGGACAAGTATTGCTATATGATATTCGTTCAAATAAGCCTTTTTTAATAAAAGATCACATGTATGGATTGCCTATTAAAAATATTGAATTTCACCAAAAAATGGATATGGTTTATTCCATGGACAGTTCTATTGTGAAAATATGGGAAAAAAATAATGTAAGTGAAATTTGCCTTGATATATATAAAAAAGGCAAATAAAAATAATAAATTTCTCTGAATGTTTTAAAATAATGTTCTATAGGGTAAACTGTACACATCCATAGAAGCACAGCATAATTTTAATGATATGTGCATTTTACCAAATACTGGAATGCTTTTAATTGCTAATGAAAATACAAAAATATTAACATACTACATTCCTACCCTTGGTCCAGCACCTTATTGGTGCAGTTTTTTGGATAATCTCACAGAAGAATTAGAAGAGTTAAATTATGAAACCATTTATGATGATTATAAATTTGTAACTGAAAAAGAATTAAATGAATTAAGTCTTTCACATTTAAAAGGAACCAATCTTCTTAGAGCTTATATGCATGGCTATTTCATGGACATTCGATTATATAGGAAAGCAAGAGATGTAATGAAACCATTTGAATTTGAAGAATATAAAAAGAAAAAAATTCAACAGAAAATACAAGAAACTTGTGGTAGTAGAGTTCAGGTATTAAATATTTCATTATCCTGTAATGTGGTTTTAGACGATGTAGTGTAGGATAAATCTGACCCACAACACACGTGCGCTCACATATATGTATATGTATATATATTTGCAGATTCAAAAAATACCAAATGTAAATAAAGAACTTGCATTAAAGTTAATGGATAATGAAACAAATGTGAAAAAAAGGAAAAAGAATTCCAGTCTTCTAACAGATGAACGTTTCAAACAATTGTTCATCAATCCAGACTTTCAAGTGGACAAAAACTCAGAAGAGTATTCGTTGTTAAATCCTGTTATCTCCCAGTTGAGTAAGGACAAGGCAAAGAAATTAAAAGCCAAGATAATTGAGGAAGAAATGAAAGAAAGAATGGAAACTGATCACGCAGAAAACGAACGCCATGGTTCTTCAAATATTCATTTATTTACTACTTATACATATTGTAGTGATTATTTAACAATGAAACTTATACTTTCAGATAATAGTTCAGATGAAAGCTTTATTCATGACGATAGCAGTTCAGAGGATGAAAAACTATGGGTTAAGGAAGTGAAAAAACAATATCGACTGATAAAGAAAAATGAAAAACAAATGCAAGAGAATAATCAAAGCATAGAAAGTAATAATGAACATGTAGAGAATCAACCTCAACTGTATGAAATTAAAGACAACGTAGAATTCAAAGATGCAAAGCCAATAACAAAGAAACGAAACAAGTGCGTATATTATGTATATATGTTAATATATAAATGTATTTCCAAAAATTTATTTTTATATTTTATTTCATACCGTCATTATTATTATTGTTTTATTTTTAGAGCTACTTTGGAAGAAAGACTGAGAAGTCACGAAACCAATGATAAAATTTTTAATTCCCGTGGTAACCGAGAAATGACTTTTGTTATTGAAAAGGTGCATATGTTATATATATATATATATATATATATATATATATATATATATATATATACACAAAGTACATAATGTACATGTTCATAAAATACGTTCTTATATCTACATATACATATTTATTTACAGAATAAAAAAGCAGGTCGGAGAAAGTTATACGCGAAAAGACATGAAAAAGAATATAAACAGTTACTAAGACCAGCAGGGAACTTACACAGAATAAAACGTTAATATTTATTGTTGTATTTAGTTTATTAAATACCAAATGATTTTTTTCAGAATAAATATTTTTACATCACTATTACTTCGTTATTTTAAAGAATAATCTTTATACTCCTTCACCCCACCATTCCGTACTAGAAGTTGCCTATACCATAAATAAAATAATTTATTTCGATGCGATGTGTATGTATATCTTGACAGAGGTGAAGTGTCATCTCAAAAGAGTGATATAATTAAATTCATACGTTAGGGTGAATCACACGAAGTACCGATACAAATGTTTTCTTTTCAAGTTCAAAAGCATTGTGCCCGTTTGTCGAGAAAAATGACATTGGTAAGTTTTGGATTATATTTCATGTAATTCTTTATTTCTATTAATTAACATTCCGCTCATATACGATCCATTATATCGGGATTTTATCATATAGATACATTAGTGTCAAATTTTTATTTTTGAAAATTTAACAGTTGGTGTATTTGTTTGAACAAATATCCAAGGTAATCATTTTTTACATACTAATTACTGTTTATTTTGATTTTGAAGATCTAGTCATAGTTTATATTCAAATCATTTGTAAATCTAGAATTTGATATTTTACATTTACTTTTTTATTTCAAATAGTGATGGATTATAAAATTTATATTAATGATAATGTAATTATGTACAAAAATTGTGTTATATTAAATTCTTTTTTTCATGTTATAAAATTGAAAAACAAAATTATCAATAAAACTAAGTGTTTTAATTATTTTTAATCATTATTGTTTATAGTCAAGTTCAAATAATGAATCAAAGAATGGGAAAGATCCTCCTCAACAAAACCATGAAGAAACAATGCAGGAATCTATAGCATCTGGGTTATCAGATTTGCAAATGCAAAGTACAGAAGTAGGTGTATTTAATACTTTTCTTCATGTATAAACATATCAAATGTTGTAAGTTATATATTTTCTGTTTTTCAATAGGTTGGTGAAATCACAGAAATGCCAGACTTTGAGATATTAAGTACTTCTGCAGTACTTCATTATTGCAAACATAAAATATTAAGACCATATCTGAGATTATTAGGAGTAATGGGTTTAAAACCAATAAGCAGTGATGATTCACAAAGATGCTCCTGTTATTGTATTTTTGCAAACCTTCATACTTTTCAAGTTACAATATTTATGTGTATTGGATACATTTTACAATACATGGCATGTTTTAGGTAATAGATATTTGTAATAATACTTCTAACATGACTGTTATCAAGTATAATTATCTTTCCAGGAGAGACAGAGGTTTTTGTTATAAAAAAATGCCTTTAAAATTTCAAATTACATCCAATATCAGCAAGCAAGAAGAAGTTATTTGTTTTGGAAATATTGTATTTAGTTATCTAGTTCCTAGTATTTTGCATTTAGTTGCATATTTATATACCGTATATTTATTTCGAATCAAAGAAAATGAGCAATTACAAAATTTAATGGAAAGAGCATTTCTTTTATCTTCTAATCCTGTAAATCGTGGAAATCAAAGCAAACTTGTACGAATATTATGGCTATTTATAGCATTAAGCCTAGTGTGGATAATTATGGCATTAATTACAGTAAATGTTTTAATGGCCCAAGAAAGCATTGTATTTCAGTGGTTAGAACACAGGTAATCTTTTTAAATAGAATATATACTTAATTGAAATATTTTATGATACCGAAAATTGATCACTCTTTTTATTGAATCATATTTAAATTCATATTTTGAAATATTATTTTTATATTGTTAGTATTGTTTCATTTTGCATTTCTTTCCAATTTATTTTTTGTACAGTCCATATCAAGTAAAAATAACACTAAAGGTACTTTTAATTGTATGCACATTATGGCATGATATGGTTCAAGGAACAATTATAACCAGTTACTGCTTACAAGGACAACTTTTACTGGCACATCTGTATTTTCTTCGTGGAAAACTACTTCATCATACTTTAGCTCCTATCGATTGGATGAGGGTTCGTAAATCAATTTCTGTATAATTACGTTCTTTATGAGAACTTATTTATAACTCTTATTTATAATACTTATTTAATTTTAATTATAAATACCTTGTTTATAATTCAAAGAAAAAGAAATAAAATAAAATATAAAAATTTTAAACAAAAGAAAAGAACAAATAAAATGGAAAAATCAATACCATTTTTGTTCACTCTTACATTACAGGAGATTAGTGAATTTAAGAAACTCTTGAAATATTTTAATGACGAATTAGGACCTGCTGTATGCATTTACACAGTTGTAAATTTATCATGGGCTGCTGCAGGTACGATCTGGTTACTCCGATATGATAATAGTAACACACAAAGTAATCCTGTCACTTGGGTTGGAATAATAAATGTAATTCTTTGGATTTTAATATCGGTAGTTCCTTTTATTCAGGTATGTTCGTTTACGAAATTTGATCAGAATAGACATTTTGATATTTAATATTACATGTAAAACATCAGAAAATTCAAAAGTAGAAGAGAAAAGTTCGAATATCTTTTTTATTTTCGAATAGGCAGCTCGTTTAACTACTGCTTGTTCTATGATTCGAAGTATCGGACATGAAGTGCGTATTCGACCATTCGTTTATCAAAGTACTCCGGATGAAGATCTTGATACTATACTTCTATATACATCATCGTTAAAAATGTGCGCCAGGTTCTTCAGAGTACCAGTTACGGGTAGATGCCTTTGTCTCCTTCTGACCATAGGCAGTACCTTGATCCTTACATTAGGACAATGTCAATTCTTCTAACTGTTTTCCATATCCTATTAATCAGCATTGGATTAATATCAGATATTAAAATTTTTTGTAAGCCCTGCATGTAACTAATTATGTACATATATTTATTATGATAAATATATTTAATTTATTTTCAATTTTTTCCGATTACTTTTATTTAACAAAAATTATCATTAAACGACGTATATTATATTCTTTTTTTTAACATCGAACATTAAACCAATAAATCAGTATATTTCTATGAAGCAATTGCCATTGGCTGAAACATCGAGAATTTGCGATATATCGTTGAATCGTTGCGCATTTGATAAAGCAAAACACGATAACGAAAAATAGTCTAAAACTTTCTTGTCTCTTGTCTCTTGTCTTTTACGTGCAAACTTATTCAAGTTTCTTGAAAATAAAATCATGGATCTATTAGGATCTATCCTAAACTCAATGGATAAGCCTCCTACGATTAGTGATAAACAAAAGGCGTTGATGAAAAGTTAGTTAAAAGTTAATCTATATCATAAATGTTCAAGCAATTATCATAATATTTATAAAATAACTTTTACTATGTAGAGCAAAAAGAGGAGTATCAGAAGCATCAAAAAGCTGAAGCAGAAAGATTAAAAATTTTCCGAGAAAAGGTTTAATTTTGTATCCATAACCTGATCTTTGTTGAATAAGGTTATTACGTGTATATTATAGTTTCTTTTATGTTGACCAGGTAGAAAAAAAAATTAATAAATTTCTTCAAGATGATGATGCAAAAGAATACAAATTTCCCCCAATGGATCAAATTTATCGGAGTATAATGTACATAAAAAAAAGATTATTATTTCATTTATTAACAAAATAATACTTTAATGCCTTTTATTATATTATAGACATGATGTTGCTGAAGTGGCAAATATATGGGCATATTCATTTGGTGAAGAGGGTATTGATCGTCATATTGTGATTTTTAAAAGAGAATATGCTCCATCTGAAGATCAATTAAATGCATTACGTAGAGGAGAAGAATGGAATGAAGAAATAGCAAGGAGATTAGTAGAAGAAAGGGAAAGACGAGCTAAAGAAGAGCAAGAAGCTGCTATTAAATCTAAAAAACGGAAAGATAATTTTGTACCAAACAATTATTACAAAGATAAGTACCAACATCTAATTGGAAAGGAAGCTGCTTTAGAAGCAGCTAGAAAAACAGAAGCTAATAGTAGTTATGGCTGTGGTAAGTAAACAACATTATTACATATTTAGTAAAACATATTTCATCATTAATTAGAAAATTTATTTCAGTCCCTAGTGAAAATAAAAAAGATCAACGAAGTATAGAGCAAACATTAGCAGATATACGAGCTAAGAAAAGAAAATTAGAAATAAGTGTCGAAGAGTCAAAACATAACAACAAAAGTGCAAAATAAAATAAAAATTATCCAGAGTGATGTAAAATATTTAATATTTGTTTAATTTTTAAACTGTAAATATTTTATATTAATCATATAACAGAAAATCAAACATTCTTATGTGAAACTATTTGCACTTTTCTGATAGTAGCACACAAACTTCTGTTTATTCTATTTATTAGTATTATTTTATGTACCTGCGATAGAAACAAGAAAGAATATTGAAATCCAATATATGTATTTACTAAGAAGTTCAAGTTAACTTATATATACAATATAATACAGACAGCACATACATTGTGAAACTTTCTATTATCTTCTGTGAAAACTGTTTCCTATACTTGTATATGTACACTTATATTTCAATTTATAATTAAATATATTCTGTAGCAGAATATTTAGGTACTGAGGTTTTAGGAGTAGTTTTTGCTTTAGTTGGAGATGAGGAATCGAATACAATTTGTTCTTTTAAAGCCAACAATTTCTTGAAAATTTGATTTGTAGTTGATTTGTATAATTCTAGTCCTCGCATGATGACGACATCTCGTATATATGAAGCATTATCATGCACCAGTTGTTTCTAAAAATTCATTAAAGGAACAAATATTTATTTCAAATGTCATATAATATGATATATATAAAAGAAGAAAGAAAATTGATTACCTCTGGTTTTAATTTTGGGTTTGTAAGAGATATAATTATGTGTTGTACTTGAATTCGCATCACTGCTATTAAAACTGCATCTATTATAGCCATTAATTCTGGTGTAGCAACGCTGAGACAATCTTCTAATAGGCTTACATAAATTCTTGAAAAAGCTAAGGAATTATCAGTCAGTGCTATCCAACAATCATTTGCTAAATAAGATGATGGAATAGTTATTCCAAGATCGTCAAATTCCGTTAACAATTTTTGCACATTTTTATGAGTTTCTAAATTAGTTGGTCGCCACGTATCTTCGGCTATATGTATTTTAACGATATCGACATATTTCTCACCCGTATCTTGTATAGCTTTTGCTAACGGGGATCTAAGCTGACCATCCAATTGATAACGAAAATCCATTCCTAATTGCGTTAACTACGAATCAAATATAGACCACAATTATATGCTTTGAAATCATAATAAATGGATAACATTATTTGTAAGAAATTATTATTTAAATAAAGTAAAGAAAATACTAATTCCGAGGACTATCGTACCTGATCACAGTGACTTCGGACACAAACTATACATTCTACTAATGTGCTTAGAGATACTTGTGGAATAAAAAGTTGTTTAGTTAAATGTGTTGTTAAGTGTTTTACTTCTTGACTACACCAAACGACCAAACCTAAATTGTATATATAAAATGTTAGAGATTAAAAAGATTGACAATCAAATTTAAAATAATATTATGTATTATATTATTTTTAACTTACCAGATGTACAGTTTGTCGATTGCGGGAAAATTTTTAAGAATTCTTTTGTGATTTCAACAATATTACTAAAAGCTATTGCGCTAAGCTGCTTTACATAAGGTGCAATGGCTCCTTCCCGTTTGACTCGTTTTAAACGTGCTTTTAGTACAGCACTACATAACCGTAAATATAGTTGGCAAGCTTGAGCGCTTACACGACGCGCACTTCTCAGTCCACTACCTTGCAATGATTTCGCCTCTGCACTTAATTCAAGTTCCTTTGTTAAAACATCGATCAATGATCTTCCTCTATCATTTACTTTTGACTGAATTTCAGGTAAAAGTGGTGTCATTTGTGCATCTTTTAAATAGGCTTTTGCTTTCTCCAGAAGACTATAAGCTTCCTCAAAATGACGCTGTGCTATACAAGAATCTAAATCTTCTGCCACTTCTAACATCCATTCTGGAGGAGGTTCATGATATTCCGTATCTTCATCATCTACACCTACAAAAGAATAACTGAAAAATTTAATTAAATTTAATCTAATTTAATTTAATTAAATTATGTAAATTTGATCAAATTACCAAACATACCGAGGGTGTTAGAGTCGAGTGACATTGATCGAGAAGGTATTGTTGTCTTTTCTTCTTTTGATCGCTTATCACTGCCTGGTACATTTGGATTATCTTCAACTAATTTCATTCTTTTTGCTTGCTCACACTTATCTAACCATTCTTTCTGTAAAATGAACTATTATTCAAATTCTTTTTTAATGATTTTTATAAATACTGTTATTGTAATACACTAACTTTACTTGTTGCAGTTGCACATTGGAATACCCTTGTATCAGAGAATGCTAGAAGTTTGAATGCTAACTTCACTGTCCCAAGATCTCTGACATTAACAATTGCCAAACTCTCAAGATTATAAACAGCTTGCATTTTATACCTTGGGGGTCCTCTCCTACTCCCATTTGCTAACCACGAAGCGATCATTAAAATATCATTGAATAAATATGCGTGAACTCTTTTCAGTGGTGTTCCTTCTAATGAATCTAATTCTAGCAAAGAACCTTCATGTAAGCATATACGGCCAGTTGTTTCTGCTAAACTCTGTTGAATTAAAGCAAAAAACCATACTTAATGTTATTGTAGTTATTTATTTATTATTAATATTAATATTATTTATTTATTATTGCTATAATTTTAATTGCTATACATTACATTGCTATACAAACAACATTAATATATTGCTGTAAATTTAAGAAAATTATATATTTATAACTTACCATAGCACCTTCTACATTTTCAAGTAACTGCACTAACTTTTGTTTCTGCTCTTCTTCTTTGGCAGTGGAATCATTAACATCTTCTAACTGTGATTCAGATAAATCTTCAAAAGTAACACCAGTAGTTCTAGTAGATCCTAATGTACTTAATAATGAACGTTGTTCACTGAGTAACTGAGATAGCTGGTACATTTCACTTTCTAAATGTGAAATTTCTTTAGCAGTTTCTATAAATTGCATATAATTTTGATAAACGTTACGTTTTAATTGTGCCGAAGTATTATTTGCAAGTTCCTGAATTTTGGCTCTTTGTTGCCTTAATTCATCTGCTCCAACGCATTGTGCACTAAGTTCTTTCACAACTGCAAAAAAATTTCATGTATCATATTTTACAAACATTTGTAATTTTTATGAACACAAATGTTTTGTTTACTTGCAAATGTTTACCTACATTTTTCAGGATTAAAATTTTCGGTTGCGAAAACTTTTGCTAAACTGTTAGCCATTGTAAAAAAATATTCACTACGTTCTAGACAAATATCTTTCATTTATGTTCAGAATTAAAAGTTAATTTCTTCGATTTCGTACTTCTAACGACATATCATTTGAGTATTCTTAATATACTTGTAGCATTTAAGCACGTTTATTTTAGCCAGTCTCGAGTCTGGAATCATACGTCAATCACAACGTGTTGACGTTTCTTACAAATTAAGCCAAGTTTGTAACTTGCAATACCAACACAAAAATTTTACTTTCTAGTTAGTAAACCTAGTTAGTAGTACCTAAAATTTTGTTTAGTCACATTTACCAGATGAAGGATATATCTCAATGTTTTCAAAGTAAAGATTTAAAATCATTATTATCTTACTTACCATTATCTTCCATGATTATATCATTTATTTTATTTTTCTTATATAAAAATTGAATAAATTTATTTCAAACAAATTCTTTAAAGTATTTTTATTTTAAAACCATTCATATATTTGATTTTTAAAATTTGTTAGATACCAGAAATTTTAGTGACTTTTAAATACTTACAATTGATATTATATTTTATTTTTATTGGCAATTGTGACAGAGTTATTATTATCAAACATGAACTTAATAAATCAAAATTAATTATTTGTAGAAAAATTTATACACATTTATGAATAGAAATTATTATATTTGCGTAAAAGACATGACAACAATGCATCGTTCATTGTTATAAATACATAGCGGCTTACATCTTATAAAAAAGTATTATTATAAATATTAACAAGACGATAAATTATTTCCATTTGTTTTATTATAACATATATATTATTCTAAGTTTTAATGCCAAAGATTGTGTAACTTGTTATACCTAAAATATAATTAATTTAAAAAGTTTTGGGTATATGATAATTAACATAAGGGAATGTATTTGAAAAGTTTCATTTATAAATACCATTTATAATGTTAATAAATATTCTATAGATATTTTACAGAATGAAATAGTAATCGAAAGCAATGAACGTACAAAAAATGATGCCGATTACATCTAAAGATTCAGAAGTAAAAGATGGTGATGGTAGAGGTACAATCAAAGTTATAGACCGCCCAACATTTATACTGAAAACTAGAGAGGGTGAAAACAGAGCTGTGTCTCCAAATCAACGTAATGGTGGTAACAAGTACACATAGATTCTTACATAAAAATGTATATAAAGCTATATTTAAATTCCTAATTATTAAATATTATATCAAATTATAGAAAGGAAGGTGATGGATCTACCACTGTTCCATCAAAGATACAAGATCGTGAGATTTCTTTTCTTCTAAAATTAAAAATTTACATTTTTAATATAGTTATAAACTTAATATATGATTTTCTTTAGCGGTTCGTACTATATTATCCACATGTCTTGAAATGACAAGCTGTGTAAAATTCATGGATGAAAATATGCAACTCTGTGAAAGTCCATTTGAATTTCTGTGTGATCAGCAGGATTTCTTGGTTGTTGGATGTTTAGGAGCTCAAGGTGTTGGAAAATCAACTATAATGTCTCTTTTAACATCTAATTCTATGTTAGTATTTTAGAAATTTTTATGGCTATTTTTTTTTTAAAAGATTAATTTTTTCTTCTCTTCTTTATTACCATGATCTGTTTTATCAATATAGATCTGGTATATTTCCAACACAAGATACATCGCATCATGAAAGTGGTGCAAATTGCACTACTGGTATTGACTTTTATGTAACAAAAAATCGAGTGATATATTTAGATACACAACCTATATTATCTGAATCCACAATAGATTATTCCATATCTTATGACCAGAAAAAGTCTGCAACAGACTTCATAAATACAGAAACTAATTTAGAGCTACAGTCTTTACAGTTTGCAGCATTTCTCTTTTCAGTTTGTCATGTTATTATTTTTGTACAAGATTGGTTCGTTGACCCAAATTTAGTTAGGTAAGTATAACACAATTCCTACTGTATCATAAGATTTTGTAAATATAATATAATGTATAGATTTTTACAAACTGCGGAGATGTTAAAACCAGCCTCAACTAGCAATATGGATCAGGATTATGTTGAGTATTATCCACACATTGTGTTTTTACACAATAAAGCTGAATTGCAAGATTTTACTCCTCATAGTATGGAAAAAGTAAAGGTATTATACATGTATTATTAAAAGTATAATAAATTATTAATAATATAAAAAATGCTATAATGACATATATACTTGCAGGAATTTTATAGCAAATTATTCTCCAGTTCTAGATTACAAACTCATAGTGGTTTGGATATGAGTAATTACTCCATGGAAGCAGGATTAAATTTGTTTTTTATACCCCGCATTATAAATGAAGGTATGGTGTTTAACATCATCTAAACAATTATATTTTAATTTGAACATTATAAACATTTCAGTGCTTGTACTAATTAAATTTTTATTTTTTAATCACAGAAGAATTTACGATGCGTCAAAATGAAAAAAAGCTAATAGAAAAGCTAAAGACAAAAATACATGGTGTTAACAGAAATTCAATGACTCCCTCTACTTTAACAGAAAAAAACTGGTAAACATAATGAATAAAAGCAATTTTTTTTCATTATATTTTATAATGATTGTCTTATAATTTGATTATCTAGGTATCATTATGTATCAAGAGTGATGGAAGCAATTAAGAAAAGTCATCTTTCTTCTGAATATGGTAGATTAATGCCATAATTTTTAGTTTATATATATACGTATAACTTACACAAGTTCTTTTATGAGGCAATGTGCATAAAATGATAGAGAAAATAAATGCAATAATACACTATATTCCACATAATTTATATATTTTATAAGAAAAAATGATTATGTTTTGTTATTTATTTAGTTTCCTAACAAGATCACAGATGAAAAAGTAATAGGTTCTTACATTTCTGAAAGTTACATATATAATCAATAATATATATGAAATTGAATAAATCAAAAAGAAAAAAAAAATTAAAGCAATACACTGTTGCAAATAGCACAAATTTTTCTACAATGAAGGATCATCTCTTATCTGTTGCGAATGATTCGATTTTGGACAAACACATTGAAACAAATCAAACAATGTAAACTTAATTTACGAGTAATCTTCTTGTTCACTATCAGCTTGTTGCATCGAAGCCATTTGTGCAACTGCTTGCAGTTGTTGCCATTGTTGTTGTTCAGCTACTGCTTGTTCTTCTCTTGCTTTCGCAAACAATTCTTGTTGTTGTCTAAGCAATTCTTCTTCTGGTATTCCTAAATTTTCTAATCTAGTACTCTGACGTCTTCGTTTAGCTGCAACAGCCTTGCAATCTCGTAAAACTGCCTCCGCTTCTGCACTATAGTCTCCAAATCCAAGCTTTTCAAGTGCTTGAAGGACATGTTCAGCATTTATGGTTTTTTTTTGTTGTTGATTACAAATTTCATTTGCTTCAGAAGAAAGCAAATGAATAAATTCTGTACAACAATTTAAAATTAATTCTCGAGATTCGTTTGCTACGCGTACATGTGGTAATATTTCTTTGATCATCTTATTAATCGATGCACGAGGTAAGGTCAATTCGTCATCTTCAGTTGGTGATATAGCAGCCGAGGCCATATTTTTCTATAACATTCAAATGAAAAATTAACTTGTCTTCCTCTATAAAAATATATACATGATTAACGACCTTTCATTATGTAAACGCGTTCATTTCCGACTTTGTTATCTTTATCAAATTATTAAGTTTATTACAAGTCGTAAAAACTATTCTAATATTATTTGATTGTTTATATATGTTTATATATATAATATAATATATATATATACACACGCACAAAATAATAAAAAAATGTACGTACTACAAATTTTAATGTTATCTTTCTCTTTTCCTTATTACTTTTCTTACTAGGTTCAAAAATTTCGATACTCTATTAAAATATATTTTACATAACTAAATTGCTAAAACATATGTACAAATAAATGACGGATTTGAAACGTTCAGCTTATCGTCTTATCACGTACTCGAAAGTTTTCTTTGCAAGAAAAAGATTATCAGATAGACTGTTTATGGATACTATTATGTCCATTTTCTGAATAGGCGCTAGACCGTATATATTGTGAAATATCATCTGATTTTCAAATTAAGTTCAGGCTAACAATTTAATTACTCATGATCAAATTACACTTAACTTGAAAATAAAATGTTAATGCAAATTCAATCGTTGCTATTATATAGTACGCTCATATCGTTTTATTTATGTATTGGGAAACATGCGGAAAATACGAACGAAGTTGTTGGTATTGTGCGAAATTTAACTGTGAATCTTATACAAGACTCAAAATACATAGGAAAGCAAGATGCATATAAATTTTTAAGATTAAATATATCTTGGTTACCTCCAAACAGCATTAGGCAACCTTCTTTTTATAGGTAAACATTTATTAGTAAATATAAGAAAATATTCTATCATTTTGTTATTGATTTATCTTGATTCACACTTGTATATAGCATTATAGTTAGGAGCATATCAATAAGGGAAAAGACAAATACTAGTGAATGCCCAGAGGGATCATTGTTTTATACATTGAGGGGCAATAAAAAATTTAATGTGCTGCTACCTGAATACAATAGTTTAGTTGATGTGTCAGATCTATACTTACATCCCAATTGTTCTTACAAGGTGCAAGTTTTTGCTAATCCAAGAACAAAGTACTCAATAAATACACCTGAAGTAAGTTATTGGTACATCATACTATGCATACAATACTTATAAATTATTTATGTAGAACTAATGATAAGTTCACTTAAATTGTATAGGTTCTTTATACAGTTCCTAAATGCTTAGATCATACATGCAGTTGCATTAATGCTGAAACAACACTACCAACTCCAAAAGTAAATGTTTCTCAAAGCCACAATCAGATGGTTGTAAATTGGACCTCAACTTTTAATACATTTAATGTTCAGTCTTATATAATCAGGTACTCATATGAAAATATAATTCATACTTAGTATATTTAAACCTATTTTGATATATATGTACTATTTGATAGCATTGGTATACCTCTCTTCATGTCACGAAGCAATTTGTCTGTCTATAATATAACAAGAATAGCAGAGGTGCCTGCAAATAAAACTATGTTTATATGGAATTTAAAATTTAATAACCAGGATATACAAATTAAAGATGGTTATAAAATAATAGTTAATGCTGTGAATTATCATAAATGTTCTGGTCCAAAAGGCAGTTTCATTATACATTTTACACCACTGAATACAAAGAATGTTAATCACAAAATGGTAAGTTATTAACAAAAATATTTAAGAAAAAATTAATTTGTAAACATTTATATTTTTTAGTGGTTTATACTAATTGGAATAATAGCCAGTCTTATTTTATTTGGAATTCTAAGTTTTGTGTTATATCATAACTATAATTTCTTTGTGATAAATCAAAACAATAGTTCAATTAAGATACATAAAATTTCTGAATGCAGATCTCATCAATGGACAGAATCAATACTTCAGAAGCATAACATTTTGTATATTAAACATGAATCAAAGGTAAAAAGATAATTCTATTATCTATAGTGTGCAATTCATATTATTAGTTAAAATAATTGTTATAGGAGGATTACATGAAAGAAATAGACGAATTAAAAGTACCATTCAAAAGTGTGAAATTAATACGTGAATTAGGTACTGGACACTTTGGAAAGGTATATCTTGGTCAATTAGATGATAAAAACAATACCTTAGTTGCTGTAAAAATGTCACAACAAATAGATATGTCAACTAATTCTGAAACACGACAACAGTTTATAAAAGAAATTGAAATCATGAAAATGACAGGAAATCATCCTCACTTAGTAAGACTTATAGGCTGTTGCATTGAACCCTCTGAACCAATATGTATTGTACTTGAATATATGCAAGGTGGTGATCTATTAACTTACTTGCATCAACAAAGGCTACATCAGAGTAAAATCATTTGTCACAAGCAAAGTAACCTACAGGAATTAAACAAATCTGATTTTCAAAACAGTAAGTAATTTACTTTTCTATAATTTTATTGAACTCAAACTATATAACTTTTATTTTTAGCTTTGTATAACACTATATGTTCTACTATATTAAACAAAACAAATAATTGCAAATCTAGAAAATATACAAATATTACCAACAATTATAGAGGAGAAGCAATAGATGAAAAAAATAGTTGGATTGGTAAAATAAAAAGACATCAATTTTTAAAATTTGCTACAGAAATTGCTATGGGTATGGTGCACTTAGAAGCTAAAGGAATTACTCATAGAGATCTTGCAGCAAGAAACATACTTCTTAATGCAGATTTAACACTCAAGGTATCTAATTTAAAGATTAAAACATTTTGTAGTAATTTATAAAATGTAAATTACTTGATAGATACGAAGTTGAAATAATTTACTTGATCTTTTTATTAATAACACTCAGATATCTGATTTTGGACTTTCACGTAATGGTGTATATGTAATAAAAAATGCAGAAGAGAAAACACGTCATCTTCCAATAAGATGGATGTCTCCAGAAGCTTTAAATAACCGAGCCTTTTCTTCAAAAAGTGATGTATGGTCTTTTGGGATAGTTCTTTGGGAAATTAGTACATTAGGTGATTTTCCTTATTCAAACATACAAGATGATTGTTTATTACGTTATATTATTCATGAGAATGGTCGTCTGGAACAACCAGACAATGTACCTTCCAATATTTATAAATTAATGCACTCTTGTTGGACTACAGAGCCTGATAATAGGCCAAATTTTACACAATTGCTTTCCGAACTACAAATTCTAATCACATCTTTGGATAATAATTTTTGGACCATATCTAATCCTTGTTACGTATTACCATTTTAAAATAAAATCACATAGTATCGATCATTTGTTTATTAAACATTTAAAAAAACAAGCATTTCGGAAAACAATAAATATACACTTACATAAGAATTAAGGAAAAGAAAATGTCACTTACGCGTTATTTATTTACAAATCGTCGATACGATCTGAATTCCTAAACAGAATATTAACAAACATTTATACAGTTAGGAAACTAACGATCTACTTCCAATAACAGAACATCCACTTCCGATAAAATCATATAAAGTATGTATTCACTTCGTAATTTCAAAGTTACATATTACACAAGTTTATACACTCAATTGTTACATACCAAAAGAAATATGAGTACACAAATAAACAAACAATAATTGTGCCGTTGATAGGTATACGTTTAGGTATTAATTAACACTCATTTTAGAGCAATAAAAGTAATAAAAATTGTCTGAACGGATACTTGAAAACGTTCTTATTATTGATTTTTTGTTAAATAGAAATAAGCCTTTTAGTCGAGCTTTATATATTCATAGTATAGTTTGATACATATGCACATCAGTTCATAGACATTTGTTGACTACATACGCCCTCTTTCGGAGAAATTTGTAAACAGAGTTACCAGGCGTGTATTATATTCCCTTACTTTTAACAAGAAAGTAGGAGAAAGGGTTTAGGAGTAAGAAATGACAATACCCGAACTCCACAACGCGTATCTGTAATTCAACGAATGTGTCATGGAGATGAAGATATTTGAATAGGTGATTGAACATGCAAATCACGTGACAGCCACATGGTTTGGTTTAAATTCAAAATCAAAAGTATAACTGTACAGCATATACTAGAAACTGTTTTTAAACGATACCTTTTTGCGAGATTCATTTTTACGATTTTTTTAACATGTTTTTTTCAATCACGTAATTTTGTAGACATGTTTTGTTTATATTTGCACAATATTTTTTAATGAATTTTGCTTAGTTTTACCTTCAATCCTGAGAAGTCGGTAAACGGTAAAAAATCTTCTTATCAAATGCAGTTCAATGTTTTAAATAACTTTTTCTACTGTTTGTTTTAGTTTAACACAAATTTTGTACTTTGTTGTAAATCGATTGTTTTACGACTTTAGTATGCATTCACTGTGTAAAAAGAGTTCTAGTTATACAATAGTATTAAATGATTAAGTTTAATAAAATAATAAAAACAAAGTAACAGAAGAACAACACAGAAGAGAAGAATGAAATAAATAACCGGAAGAAAAGTACATAAAAATGATATTTGTAAGACTTTTTTATTTAGGAACTTTATTAATTGTTGTATGGATTCTAACATATATTTTCTCTTTAGATTCCTAGAGATATATGAAGAAATTTTATACAAAAATTTATTAATAGTTCTGGATAACTCTTTGGAATTATAAGTAGCAACTAAATGAATGGAACAATAGAAACTTCTTTATTGTCTTGTAATAATCGAAAAACGATTAAATTATATTCTTCTGTCATAACATTTGCATTATTCATATAAATTCCCATTACATTTTTTATACTTAAGTATAAATTATCTGTAATGCTGTTTTTAATTCTTAAATAATTAAGTAAATATGTCTGTATTTCCTCCTTGTGAACAAATCTTATTAAAATGCATAAGTTTTCAAAATCTGAAATATCCGTACTTTCACTTAATAAGATAGAAAAGATTTTATTTTGTAAAATTTGTATATATTGTTGAATTGGATTTACTTATAATATCTTTTGTAATTAGTTTTAGAAATAAATTACGTCGTTATTTCAAATGGCTGTTTGTATAGTATGTTCATATAATACAAATAGAAATATTGAACATGTTTTATAATATCCATAACAATTCTTAATTTCGTCTGCTTGATTTCATTTTTTGTAATGTGGACATAGATAATTCCTTTAGTATTTTCAATTTTTTTGATCTTCCCGCTTCTTTAATCTAATTATGTGTTTTATGCATAATTGTATTAATATATTTCAAAACGTTACTTCTTTCAACTCCAAAAACTATATCACTGGTTATGCATTTAGTTTTATAAGAAATTCCATTGCTTAAATTGATGTACCAAATAGATCGAAGAACCACTTATTAAGGAATTTGTGTCCTTTGGAGAGTTTCTTTTGGGAAGGACTCATACTGCTGTTACTGCCTATTTATAAAATATTCATTATTATCTAGATTTAAAAATTATAATAATGCACTTTCATAAAGATAAAAATGTTCTTTATTAAATTTAAGTTAATGCAAAAATATTAAACATATATTTTATCAACTTCACAAGATATATTTTAATCTGTAAGAGCTGGATCCAGTTGGGAAATACTAAAACCTAAAGTTGGAGTTAGAACATTCTCACTATCATAATTTGTAAAATATCTATTATTATTCATTTTTAATACTATGATAATATTTATGATTTTTATGATTTTTATTACTATGATAGTATTTATGTATCTCAAAATTGAGGAGTATAAGAAAGACTCAAAATGTAATTTTTACAAAAAAATTTTTTTCCATAAGAATTATATTACGGTAAATTCTAATATTATACATGTGTCAATATTAGTAAATAAGGAGTAAAGTGTCATTAAAATAATTAATCCATTTTTTAGTATTTCATATCTTGTATAGTATGTATGATATATAATCAGTTTCCTTTAAGCGAAATGTACCAATAAACTTGGTATTCACAATCGCATCTCGACTTTAATTATAACAGTTTAAGTTTCTTTACTCATCACTTCTGGCACCATCAGTCTTTTTCAATAAATTACATAATGGACTTACAGCTTTTTTTAAAATATAAAAATGATTTTGTTATTAATTAATAGAATTTTGAAATATTCAATTAAAGATATTGTAAGATCATAGAAAGTAATATAACCCATATAATAAGTAAATTTTGTTATACTTTGTTAAGTGGCATTTTCACAAACAAAAAGTAGTTTCTTTAAAACTTCAATTTTGATACCTTTAGCCTTTTTTATTTCTACTATTCAATTGTATTAATGTAAAAGCACTAAACATATGTTTTATCTGATTGATAGATAATTCATACTGTAAACTATAAAAACACAAGTTAATTGTTTGTTACTGTTTTATTTCATCACGTGCTATATAAGCAGTTTCACCAACTATCTTGAATCAAAAAGAACGCCAAATACGAGTTGCGACGTCCCCACCTTCACCTTTGCAGGTGTCACCATCCCCACGCCTATGCTATATCATTCCCTACTCCAACACCATTTCCCCCACTTACCTTTTGAGAATAGAGAATTGTAGCGCATGCCTCGCAGCTCCGCTTGTAAACGACATATTGAAGCGTTCTCATGAACTATTAGAAGGAAAATGAATGTATTGAGCAAGGAACAAATTATTTTTGGTTAACTAATATTTAATTGATTTGTTTCGTCTTTAAGTATTACGGTATCAGTGTTATCAGTTTACTATAAAAATGTGTTTGTATTAATAAGACAATGCGAGGAAAATTTTGTTTGTTATATTGACAAATATACGCACAATTTCTGGTTGGTTAAGTTTTTCGATATTGTTCAATTGTGAATTTTTATAGAATGCTACATCTACTAATATAATTTACGTTTTTTAGCGATAAGCGTTGATTAGAAGGAAACAAAGTGAATGCAATATGAGTGAAGAAGGAATTACTATAAGTTATGACTCAGCCATAGATGGTAAGTTACTTTATTGATTCATTTGGTTTCCGTGTTTGTTTTCTCAATATAATATTATGTAGTTGGCATATTGGATAATTAATGACTATTATAGGAATACTTTTTTATGTCAAATTAAATGTTTGCCAAACATTATTTATAACATCAGTTCATGACTACTGACTAACTGTATCTGGTATCTGTTCGAATGTTGATTGAATTGTAATGGCACGTTATAGGTAAAAATGAATTAAATGTAATAATGAAGTGCTCAACAAGTTTTAAGTTGCCCAATCAGGAAACTCGGATAGACTAAAGATGTATGTACCCCAAGTAGAGAATGCAATTATCGTGATGAGAAGCGTTATAACACTAGGACCTATTCCAGCTATTGCAAAATCTCTTGTTTTTATATGTCCTGCTGCAGTTGCTATCGCATTTGGTGGTGTGCCTACTGGCAGATGGAATGAAAAGGAGCAACATAATGAAGCTGGTAGCATCAAGTACAATGGGTGTATTCGTAAAGCGACACACTGAAACAATCAGTATAAATATGTAGTACTAATGCATATTACACATAACATAAAAATGAAATAGGAAGAGATACGAAAAAAGGATTTATCACCAGGATTTCTTACCATTTCTGCCAAAACAGGTAAGATAATGTTTGCAACGGCAACATTAGAGGTCAATTCTGTCACAGTTTCCGCAAATACGCAAACGATAAATAGTATTGCAAGTGGATTTATCGATTGCAAAGCAGTTAAAGCATTTCCTAGAATAGAGGAGAGATTGGAACTGATGCTGCCAGCTGAGATGGCGAAACCACCACCCAAAACTAAGATCAAACTCCAATGCATCTTCTGATTTATCATTTTCCAAGTAATCATGCCAGGCGATGACTTGTTTGGGCGCTTAACAGGGTCCTGGTCGAACGATCGAAGAAAATCGAGTTTGGATGGCAATATAAAGAAGAGAATGGTAACACACGCAGCCGCTGTAGAGTCTTTAACGTGTCTGCAAAGAACTACATTTGTCGCGCATATATTGTTGAAATAAATCTGCGTTTTGTAGCAAAATGCTACAAGAATGACAAGAAAGAGAAGAAAGAAGGTATAAACAAAAGATATACTGGAAAAGAAAGAGGAAAGGAAGGAATAAAAGCGATGCTTAAATAAAAGTTATTGAAGAAATAAAAAAAAGATACATACAAACTAGTAATGTAAGTTGGCCAACCCCGTACGAATCCGGGACTTCTGAAAAACCATAGTAATACGACTATGATAAAGAGGACGCCGACGGAAGATTCATGCCACGTAATCGAACCGAGTTCTTTATATTTTTTCTCAATTACGCTTGCTGCAACTTTCTCTCCTTGTGTGCCAATATTAATAGCTTGAGCATCTTTGCTTTTTGATCTAAACATTCCCATGTACAATACTTGAAGCCAAACCCATGTAAGGAAGCCCATTAGGAGCATAGGTGGTACTGAATAAAGCATCCACGATGTTAGACTAATACCGGAGCTGTTTGGGAATCGTCTGCAATATACGTAAACGATTACTTTTTTTTCTTACTCATTGTATTTTATCATTTCATCAATGGATAGTGTATCGTTTATCGAAATCCCTTACCTCTCGTAGAATCCTTTTAAGGTCAAGTTGGTGCCAGTACCAACCAACGTACCTATGCCACCAATACTAGAAGCGTACGCCGTTACGAGATAATAGACCATGGTAATATGTGTCGGTTTTTTCATTCTATAAATATTGCAGAAACAAGTTAGTTGACTACATATTTGAAATTTTCTTTTTGGCCGTTTCTTTGTTTAAATTTTTTGGTTTCTATTTGAAAGCATTCAAATTTTCCGATTTGATATTACTAATTTTATCAAACAGATTTATGAGGTAACAAGATTAAAATTACGCACGGTTCTGTATCCTCTTCAGCACAGTCATTTTCTTCTGAAACGAACATATTGCCTAAACCTTGCTGAAAGTGCAAAGGCAAGACAGTTAAAAGTTAAAGCCCAATCTGCATGGAATGTGATGATGATAGACTAAGTGCATTTCGAGTAATGCATCGCTTACCGCTTCAAGTTCCAGAAGAACAGTTTCAACAATGGGTAACATCATGGTGGTAGCAGCGGTATTTGAAATCCACATCGACAAAAACATAGTTACACAGAACAATCCCAAAGTTAATCTGTGGATTATATAGCACATTCATTTTATATTATGAATTTACAATGTGTGCCGTTACGTATAGTATACGTATTTTTTGTAGTACATTGAAGAGAAAAATACATGTATATGATACAAAAACCAGAAAGTATGCCAAGATAATGGACAAATGTAACACTATTTGGAGATAATGAAACGTATTTCCGGTATGTTGAATTACCTTCGATGACTGCAACCAATCATTTTAATGATCAGTAACGCGATACGCATATGCAGGCCAGAATTTTCAATAACAATCGCAATCACCATGCTACCGATAAACATCATCGTAGTATCGTTCATGTAGCAAGCGCAGGTGTCGCTGGTATTCATTATACCCATCAATGGATAGAGAACGACAGGAATTAAACCTGTGATTGGTAAGGGAAGTACCTCGGTCACCCAGAACATTGCCATCAAACCAACCACGTATAGACATCGCATCGCAACTACCTGTGTGCAATCGACAAGTAATTTTTACCGTATGACTATGCGACACAGCGAATGAATATACGAATAAATATAAGTACAAAGAATGAAAAAGAGCATAGGTAAAATAAAGAAATATTAAAGAGAGAAAAAATACAAAGACAAAAGTAGATAACAGCAATAGTAAAAATCTTTAACTAACGTAAAAAGGTACTATTGGAACGAACCTTGGTAGTTTCGACGATAATGATAGGTAACAGAATCAGAGGCCATAATATAATCACGAGTGATTTCCAGTAAATCGATATAAACTGTATCAACAGTCTGCCAAAAACGTCAGTCTTTCTGAAAAAGTCATATTAGCCAAAGGTATATCAGTCTTATCCACAATTGATATGGATAACGATGAAGAGGAAAGGGGAAAGAGGAACGGAGAAATGAAAGAAAAACGAGAATGAAAGATAAAGGAAAAGTACATCGATAAATGATAATTGACTGTGAATTGACAAACATTCAACATTGGCTATGTAGAAGAGCTGCGTACCTTCTGCTCATGGGATCGGTGATTTCCGGGTATAAATCGTCGGGTTGTGTAACCATTGTTTTTTATCCAACCAAAAGCCATGTACCTAGAAAAGAAAGCGAAACGTATACATACATCTGTGGAACGTTTCTTTACCGAATCGAGAAAATGAAAGGTTGAATGATTCGTAGCGAATGATTGGGGCGCGAACGCTAGTTGGCGCTAGGAGCCACAACGGGCGATACATCACGATCGAGTATTTTAACTGGTGTTTCACATTATGGTATTGAAATTAGGTTAATGATGGGTCGATATTCGGGTAATATCGGTGATTTCAAAATCGAAGCTAAATATATATTGTTTCCTCATAATTTAATCGGCACACGTCTATATAAAGAGTTGCGTAACGATTCTTTGCGACTACCCCTGACCTCCTCACTGGTCTCTCCTTTTGTACGGCATGTTCGGATTACGGACTAAGTAATTTCACTAAGCGACACCGAACGAGATTGACCTCGAAGGTCCCGCGCGATGGGTCATCTAACCCTGCCGTCCATTTTATGTATTCGTCGTCCAATTTTGCTCTTCCATTTTGCTAACCGTGTATGCACTGTCGTTTTCAAATGGATTCTGCTTTAGTGCTTTATCGTACTACGATATCTCGGCAAAGCCGTGATTAGTATATCGTTTCGTGATTGTTTCAAAAATTGAAAAGCAAATAAACTTGTTCTTCTGATGTCTCGTTTACGCTTCTTCCTTTTTTTACCGTCAAATTAAAAAGACGATCGAGACGAAAGGAGTGCTCTATCAGCAATAGAGCGTGTTAGCAATTATGTAGCGATCAATCAGCACGATATCGCAATCAACGTTTGGTATGCCTTTACACCGTCATGTCGAGTCCTTCACGTACGAACAGTCGGAATCGAAACATCTGCAGTTGTACCGGTTATTCGATTCAAAATCGAACAACGATCTACAACATTCGGCCCGATGTATATGCTTTTGTATCGATTTTTCTATTCGCGTAGAATGTTCCGGAATGCCGTAATAACGTGGTACCGCAAAGTTTGCGCTTTGTCTGGCAGCAAATCGGCAAACAAACCCAACGATACGGTCGATTTAGAAACAGTCAACATATATTAAGCTTTGCGTACCGATATCGCGAAATCGCGTGATCTGAGAGATCAGGGATCGGGGAGCAGAAACCACGAATCGACGAGATCCGGTATCAACGGTGTTCTAAAGCAATCCGAATTCGAGTTTCATGGAAGTTGATTTTATTATATTAAAAATTATTCGCCACCTTGATTTTCCCTCAATCCCTTGTACTTCTCGTCAACGAGCATGAATGGGGACAGGAGGCATTTAGGAAAATCGAGATCGGTGCACTGTGCAGTGGTACCGTACGCGTGTGGTGCAAATTAGAATCGAACAATTCGACATCGCGTACCCTAAGCAATGAACGCGACCCTAACAATGCATTCGAACATGAACGGGATCTTGAATCACCGTATTACAGGTGGTAACATCGAGGCTTTGGATGATGGTTGTTTTCCGCGCGTAGTTTCGCACACTGTCCCGAGAATGGATCTCACCAAGACAGAATCGAGTTCTTCGACTCTCTCGTGTTCCTCCTTTGGGCGCTGCACACACTTCTTTACCACTGCACGTTTCGCTTCAAGGCACACAAAATCGGACCTCTGACGATTAAACTATCACCCCTCTCCTTTAGTTCCCTTTCTCTTACTCAGCTATCGTTTCTTCTTTTCCTTCTCTTCCTTCTTTTCCTTCTTTTCCACCGCCTCCACCTCCTTTTCCTCCTTTTCTTCTTTTACTACTACTACTACTACTACTTTTTCTCTTTTTCTTCCTCTTCTTCTTCTTCTTCTTATTCTTCTTATTCTTCTTCTTCCTCCTTTTCTTCTTCTTCTTCCTACTTGTTTGGTGCTCCTGATGCTTTTTGCTTATACCCCTACTTTGTGGTTCGTCTTCTGCCTGTTTGGTTGGTTCTCCAATGACTGGTAAGTGAACTCAACGAAGCAGCGACTCGTGACAAACGTATAGTTCCCCGTCTCTCGACCTTGATACGTCGATGTCTTGTAGCAGGTTTATTCGCGAATGTAGACTACCGATCACCCACGTGGTATTTCATCGCGACTGATATCTTTTTTACGTCTTCCGAGATGTGCACGAAACGGAATTCCGACAATGTGAGGGGTACGTGTCGCGGGAACTGTAAAGAGCTTAGCGACTATCGCGAATCTCTCCTCAGCATCGACGCGAAGGGACAATGGTGAATTCGTAATTTCCCTTTTCTGAAAAGAGAACCTCAACGCGTCATTGGAACGTCGTGGTTGCGTCAATCGACGAACTGTCGAGAATCCTTCGTTGCTGTTAAATTTGAAAGAATGGGGTTCAAGTTACCCAACTGGATACGCATTTTAGTGGAGTAAAATAATGCACGCGTGGCGTTTAAATCAATTTAATCCCGCTAGTAATTAATTCTCCCGCTCCCGCCATCATTTGTCCTCGTGTTTATTACGTGACGCATGGTTCAAACGAACCGCTAAACTATAGTTGTACAAAATGTATGCCCCATCTCAAAACGCATCATCGCTATTTTTCCTATCGTTGATGGTTTTCGTATGTTTCGACGCATATCGTTGAAAAATGCAAAATAAACTGTAGATCGATAAAATATGCATGTAATGTTATTACATAGATAACGAAATGGTTATCGAGCCCTCTTGCATCTGAATCAGCATCGAACAGAATTGTTGGCATAATAGCATACGGTGAGTATTATGAGAAATTAATAAACGATCGTGTTCTGTTTAAATTCGAAAGTGATCGATGAAATAGGTATACGAAAGGAAAGAGAGATAAAGAGAGAGAGAGAGAGAGAGAAAGAGAGCTGAATGGAAAATTGAATTGGAATTCGTCGCGCGTTTTATAGTTTGTACGTGACATATATGCGGTGATGTAATTTGGCGCTAGTAGCCTGAAACGAAGATCGTTCGATTACCATTGACCGTGTGTACTACGAATTGGTCGCCGAGTTCGATGCGTTTCGACAAACACAAGGGAATGAACTCGTGTGAATCGCACCTTTGGACTCGGTTCAATTTTATTTTCAAGGTTGCATCGTGCGCGTATTTTACTTAGCATCGTGAATCAAGTTGTACGAGGGATGCATGTTGAAATAATAAACGAGAAGTTAGCTGCTTATACTGCTTCTCGAGCGTGATAGTTCATATACCGAAACCCGAATATAAAACGAGAAATATTTCTTAATCCCTTTCCTAAAAATAATCGTTTGTTGATATTTTCAGAGAAGTACAGAATTTATGCGAGCATATCCTTCGCTGTACTATTGCTGGGTCTCGGAGTTCCTCTTTGGTGGCATACCACCACGTTGCCGCGTGTCACGCTCCCTTACGATGGAATCGAGAAACTTTCCGATTTAGAAATCAACGTTAAAACCAAACTCGTCGTTGTTACACTTTCTCAAGATCGAAGTGAATCGTTGGTTCGCGATATAACAGAAGCTTTTCAAAATGCCAGTGAGTACAATAAAGGTTATATTTTCTCAACTTCTTTTTCTTTTTCTATTGAATGTACGTCGTTGTAGGTATTCATCGGATAGAGGTGGTTCATCATGTGATATCCAGTAATTTAGTAGCTTCTGCGTTTACACATCATGAACTAGAGAAGGTAGCCTCTATCTTTGATGTCGCTGTTGGACAACTTTTGCTTTTGGAAACGAGCAATTTGAACGACGCGGTTCTTGTCGGCACGAAAAGGACCATTTACTTTTCTACGGAAACCAGTAAGCAGCGAATCTTTCTTAAAATTTGTCATATTTTTCTCGTGATTACGACGTTGATTTTTTTCAGCTGCCTCTACTTTGATTCAAGTATTATCGGAATGGCTGTTACACGAAAAGTCGTTGGCTTTAACGAGAAACGCACTTACCGAACCGACATTGTACAGTTTAGACGAGGAAAACAGAAGGAGATTCCCGGCTAGTCCGGCTTACGACGTACTAATCACTGTTGTGAACCCTGATCCAGAAAAATTGAAGGTTACTTGGGATCTCCGTGCAATGACCGAGGGTGGGTAAGAAAGAAAATCTCATATCTTCGATAGTTTTTTTCCTCCGTCTTATCATTTTGCATTCTCTGTTGTGCTCATTTTTTATTTTTAGAATATATCGATCCTTTCCTCAGTGAACTTTCAATCTTGAGTAATTTTTCGGTCAAGTCGCAGTGGTTGTACTTACTCCCTTTGGATGTGAATCCAAAACGAGTACCGGACAGTGGGGTGTTAGGCAGGCATTTTGCATTGCCAGAAGATCTTCTACCTCAATTAATTACTCCATTAGAAAAGAAATTAGGTATATAATACGTATTTTCATTTTCTTACGAAAAGCGAAACAAAACGGTAAATTTTTTCGTCAAAACTTATTTTAGCATCGCAAGTCAGTCTCCGTCCAACAATCAATTTCGTCATCTATGCTGTTCCATGTGATAATGCACCATTGCATATTTATACGCGTTCCGGCCATCGATCAAAAATTGTCGCTAATGTCGAAGCGTTCCTATCCCCAAGGTAATGCGTGTTTCATTACATCTAAAAGAATTTTGTTATTGAGAACCGTCAGTCGTTTATATTGACATTATATTTATTTTTGTTACGTTCCTTGATTTCCGCTGTAGGTGGGGCGGTGTAATGTTGATCAATCCACCCCTGGCTGCTTGCATAGTTGCCAACCGATCAATTGTTATAGTTCCCGAAGAAACTACCGTTGTTGGAACTTTCCTTACCCAATTAAAGCTTCTTTTAGGTATTCCCGAGCCGGTAATTATTACTTCTCCTATCTAATTATTCTGGTCTTATGCGTTTCTTCCGCTTTTTATTATTTTCATTTATAATAAAAAAAGATATAAAATGAACCCAACTAACATGATACTACAACAACGGTTTTTAATCTGTTTTCAGAAATTTTTAAATGGCGTTACTGCTGTTTCTTCATCGGAATTGAAACTGCGTGATTGGGAAGTTGATGCATTGCTACGTGTGCGAACAATCGAGCAGTTAACATCGGCAAAATTGACTTTGCAGTCACTTGCTCAACTTCTTCAAGAAATTAGTAACATTGTAATCACAGATATTGTAGGAAACAGAATAAAAACAGCTTTACATTTGGTAGAAAAATCGGCTGAACGGTTAAACGATGGCGATCTAGCTACAGGTTTTCTGTTGAGTAAAGAAGCGTTTGTTACCGCAGAAGCAGCCTTTTCTGATCCAACACTCTTTGCTCTGTTGTATTTTCTTGAAGATCAAAAGTAAGATATATTGATTCATGTAGAATACGTTATAATCATGATATCGTAATCTTTTCTTTTGCATCTTATTTTTTTTTTCCAATTTCAGATATGCTGTATATACACCTCTCTTTTTACCAGCCATGTTGCCAGTTTTATTTTCTCTAAAAAATATTTATTACTATTATTCATCCCGAAAAACCAATAATTCAAAGAAGAAGACTGCGTTAGACCAAAATAAACAAGAGTAAAAAGTATATTATGATAATGTTTTTATTGTTTTCAATGAATTCCATAATAATGTTTCAATTTTTCGTACTATCCTATCTGGATAAAAAGTTCATTGAATAAATTTCACAAATAAAAACGATATTTTTTATTGTACAAAGAATGTGTTGTTCAAGTTATAAAAACAGCAGAAAGTGTAAAATGAATGAGTGAGTGAATGAAAAAAGAAAAGGACTAAAAGGATAGAAGTTTAGAAGTGAGCAACAGAAACGGAGAAAGAGAAAGAGAGAGAGAGAAAAAGAGAATGAACTAAGTTATTTAAATTGTTTCAACGAGTGTTGAATGAGTTTAAAATGTTTCATATACAGCTATATTTCATTTTATCCTGCATCTTTGTCATACATAAGTAGAATTTAAGAATCACAATTTTCTGGTAATTTTTGTTATCCACCTATGTGTTATTGAATATATGAATTCCTATGATAAGGCCCATTTATATATTAATAGATTAATCTTGAAAGTATTACAAAGCAAAAACTAATAATATTTTGTCACTATATTTGTCTGTTCACTATTAGAATAATATCAAAAGGTTTTTTAGTGCAAATGTGTTTATATATTTTTTATTTCTATAAAAAATATAATTGTAATAATAATTATATCAGACGATAATTTAAATAAAAAAGAGGGAGATGACGTGTATGCATTAGATTTAAACTAACCGAAAATTGAAAGACGAATTTCTTTTTTATAAATAATTAAATCTCGATATGAAATTTCAGGAACTTTTCAAAATGACAAAATAATCTTTCAGCGTTTTATTAAATAAAATTAATCCAATGTTTTCTTTTCTTATTTAAATTAATTTCACTTTTTGTCTTCTGAAACAAGTTATTGACATTTCATTTAAGCTGAACAGTACAAATGATAGACAAGAATTAAATGTACTTGTTGAGAAATTGTTATTAACAAATTTTTGACAAGTATTTATCTCTAACTAACGAGACTTGTATAAGATTTGTGCGTAATATAGCTAGAGTGCAGATTGTTTCATTTCTTTTAAATAACTGCAGTTGTTCTCAGCTCAGTTTGTGCTCGGTTCGTCGGCATATATAAATGGACCTTTATGCGTCATAGTATGCAATATACGATACCTGGAAAAAAGCTTCTGCATCAAATACAATACGAAACTCATTAAAAACAGTAAGATTCTTAAGATGCAGAATATTGTTGCATAAATATAAAACATATATAAAAGTTAAATTAAACTGATCTAAGATAAATAAAAAGAAATAATAAAAACTCACATTTGTTATCAGAAAGAAAATAGTGAAGAACAGTAAAGTCATACAAAAAAATATTTGGTGTATAAAATAAAAGTCGGAAAGAAAAGTATTCGATAACAAATTTATGAAGAAATAAATATCTTGGTATTTATGTTACATAATTTTGTAATATTTCCACATACGTATATAACTGTCTTAATATATGTATATTGTACCATTTACGTTTTAAAATTTTTGCAATTTGTTGAAGGTATTTCTTTTCATGATAATTATTTCTCGAAATTGATTTTATTTTGTTTTATAAATATATATGTACACACACACACACACACGCATACACATATATTCATTATAATTGTAACAGAGGATGATGCAGAACAATTTTTTTTTATAAAATAACTAATAAAAAAGACTGATTAAATTTCAAGCAAAAGAATTCATAATCATTCAAAAAAATAGAAAAATTGATAACAATATAATATCATTACAGTAAAAGAATTGAAAATTACTTGCAACATAATAATATTAAGACAATGAAATAGTTAATGAATATTTTTAACTTAAATGAAATAGTATGTAAAAAAAAATTAATAAGTAAAGCCACAAGATGAAAATAAGGTTTGGGAAACAACAAAATTTTTGTAAGAATAAATTTCATTAACAAATTGTGAAAATGTTTTAACTTATAAAACCAGTGCTATAATACATGAAAGCAGTTATACAAAGCAATAAATGCAAATATTATTGTGTAATATAAATATTAAATAAGATTGTTTATTTCTTTTTAAATGTATGTTATCAAATACTTTTCTCCATGACTTTTATCAACCAAATACCTTTTTCATATAACATTTTATTTCGTCACTGTTCTTGTTTTAATAATAAACAAAAATTTGTATTGATTCTTTTTTATTTACTTCATATCATATTAATTTAACTTTTTCGTGTGTTTCATATTTATACAATAAGATTTTGCACTTTAAAATTTTTAATGTTTTTAGTTACTTTGATGTTATTGTGTTTGATTGAAACTTTTTGTCAAGGGTTGTAGTACAAAGTAGTACTAGATAAAGGTTTTTGTTTGTACACAGGTACGCGTCTTTTGTTCACATTTACGCTCACAAATTTAATACTATCGAACCTTTTCCACGCATTCTCATGCATACTTTTTAACAAATTCCAAATTAATTATCATTAGATCGTTAGAAACAGCTAATAATCTATATACAATACACGTATATCAATCCTCAACCAGTTACCAAAAGGTTACAAAATTATCGAGTTGAATCACTATAAAATGTATGTTCAACTACCACGAAAATTTCACTGAAATTTAAATTACTTTACTATAACTGACTCGATACGAGCAGATTCGTAATAATGAAACGATCCGTTGTGTGATGGAAATATAAATACTTCGCAACTCCAACAGATAGAAACGACGCTATTATTTTTCTTTGTTTCAAATTTGAAAATACCACAGTTACTACAGTTTGCATTTATCTAATTGAAATATGTACAATTTCGTTTTTTATTAATTCGATTAGTAGTTGAACATTATCGCTAACAATAAAAATAAATTAATCGGTGAATTGAAACGTTTACTCGTATGAAAAAAAATAAAAAAATAGAGAGGGAAAGAAGAAAAAGGAGCAAGGAGAGGACGGAAGGGCATGAGGAAAATCAAAAGGAAAAGAAGAAAATCAACAGACATGTTGAACTAGCAGTATCGCATGTTGCAAAGCATCTGCGATATTCTGAAAAACAGGTACACCTTCGCGCGTCGCGTAGTCCGACAGGTACATTCTTCCCCGATTGTAGTCTTTTATGGCTTGTTCGGTTAGCTAAAAGAAAATTCAATTTTCTATATAAACATATATAGTATCTTACTTAATGAAAATGTAAAGTATCAAGGAATAAGATTAATAGTGAAATATAAGAAACAAAAAATATCAAAGTATAAAAAGTAAAAGGAGGAGGTGGAAAAGTATATATTATTATTTTTATATAGTAATATATGTATAGAACATACGCAAAAACGCTCACCTTTTCACCAGAAACTACGCAGTCTTCGGGAAGCGTTTGAACGCACAGGACTAATTTTGCGCGTAATCCAATGAGGTGAGCTGCCAATGCCATTATAGTGATACCACGCGAATGTTGCGGTACGATCAATAATATAAACCGCGAATTTTTCATCCTCTGCAATTCTTGTGGCAACACCTTTACGTTGTACTCGTTCAGGCTTGATCGATATAAAGATAATCCAATACATCTAAAACAAGAAAAAATTTACATGTAAACTTACAATGAAATCTTCATAAGGGTGACAATCAAAAGAACGTTACATCTTGAATGCTCACTCGATCGAGGGTGCGGCGATTGTTTCTAACCAAAACTGATCTTTACCGATTACTCCAACGTACAAGTCTCTCTTCTCGGATTCTGGCACGAAGAAATTGGTCCAATCTAAAAAGTTGAACGGTCGAACGAATCGTACACTCGACTGCTCGAACGCTTTCGTGAACAATTAATCGAGGCACGAACGTCTCGTAACGACCTGTTTGCTAGTTCATACACGCTAACGATACATACGCTACTACAGATCGTGGGAAATTTTTGAGAATAAGAAATACCTAGGAAACGGTTAAAAGGTTGCACGATAGCTCTGCGAAGAAATTTCGACGCCTTCCTACATAATATACTCCAAACTGAAGGTATCTCACTTTCACAAGAGACGCCATTGCTTTTTGTCCTCCACGATGATTCCGTAGCTAAGGCACAAAACTGCTCAAAATTTATCCGTAACTCTGTTGGACTCCTTTTCGTTGGAAATCCATCGTCTATCAACGTTCTATATGTTTCTGAAAGCATATAAAAGTAAGAAGTATAGAAAACATTGTTAAATCGCAACTTGTTTTTTTTGCACCCGCGCAAGTTTTGCAATATGAGAAATAAAAGTTATTTAGTTATACAAGAGTTTATTACCCGATTTATTTACGACATTAAGAAGCTCCGACATTGATGGCACGTTGCATTTGACACTGGATTGTAATGCTATCCACGCCTATGAAATTAATAATGTAAAGTAAATGTTTAACAAATATATACCAAAATTAGTTTTTCATAAGCAATTTGTGCTATTCCATAGACATAAATATACTAATTAAACTTACTTCTACCAAGTTTACACTCCCACTATCGTTTATATCCATGGATTTGAAGATCTCTCTGAGCATACTAAAAAAAAGGTAGATTAAAATCGAATATTCCACATTATTACACTTACATAAATGTGTATGTACAGTTTCAGGGAAAAATCCTTACACCACATCCATTCCATTTTGACTAAACGATATTTTAATCGGTCTAATGCCATCTTCGGAATGCAGATCTTGCACGTTAATCTCCTCTCGTAGCACCTACGGTGAAAACAGAAAATTTCTGAGTAAAGACAATAATATAATATAATATAACTCGCAAAATACCGAACACGACAATACAAATACACACAATTTATTCTTACACGCTTTATCCACTGATATATATACCTTGGATGTACAATTCAGAGCAACCGACACACTTTCGAATATCGGTATCCTCTGCCTCTCCATCAGATATTGAAGTACTAGCAATCCATTCATCAGGTCATAATATTCTCTAAACAAAAATTTATCACGATATTAATTGATATTAATTTCTATACATAACAAATAAAAATTAAAAGAAAGGCACTTACTGAATAGATACAGTTTCGCCAAGTATCGTTTGACCTTGACGATACGGATAAATAACAAGAATTAAAGACTCGCGGCGTGTAACTGCTAACTGAGCTGCCTCAATGATGCCTGCGCTATTACGTGTTTGATTATCTATTACGAACAGTAATACTTTCGCTGTTTGTTTCGCTTCGTATTCTTGAGCTATCAATTCTGGTCCCCACTGTGACACTTGCTGAAATATTTACAATGAATTACTTACAATTATACCAACATAAATTATCAATGAATAAATCAAACTAGAATGAATATTAATGATCACGTACGGGATTATAATAAGTGATTCCGAGTTTTTGTAACGTCGGTATCGCTATTTCTGACCTCCATGTGGTTGGATTACAAGATCCACCCAGAAATACCTCATATGCCATTCTACCTGCAGAAGTAAACGTTATAAACGTGTCAATACACATAAAATTATACATACTCAATTATATATGTGCTAAACTTACTTGAAGCACTTTTGTTATTAGTATCTTTTCCATCACAGTGTAACGGACGAGTCGCACTCATAGAAGCAGCTGTTCTGGAATAAGATGTACATGAATTAATCAAGGTTTGATGAAACAAATAGTCTGTGATTTAAAACAGTATTATCACACTCAAACTACAAACATATTAATTTTTATTTGGTTTGCAAGAGGATTCGATATACATGTATTTAACTTTTTTTTTTGCATCTTTCTAATCATTTAGAAACTGATAACTTTAGCTAACTATGAAATATAAATAAAAGTTGAAATGGTTTTGGTTAGAGTGTGGTAATATTAAAATTATTGTATTACTAAATAACTTAACATATGATATATTGTAATATTAAACATACTTCCAAATATCAAATCCTTTCGCAACAAGGAAAAGCATGCTACGCTGCATTGTTGAAAAACTATTTTCTGCTTTGACTAATTACAACCAACTGTTTGATGCTTTAAGCCTGCAACATATGCATTTCATCTTGTTGCACAATTTAAAGCAATAATAAGTTGAAGAAAACCAAATATTTGCATTACCTTTTTCTGCACAAACGTGCCAATTCAATGACAAAGATATAAAATTCTTGGAGCATTATATAAGCATGAGGGCCAATAATCAAGTAATTTTTAGTAAGTCGCCACTCTTTGTATATTTGCATCCAGTATGCAAATAACAACATTACGTATGTTTCTTTCTTCTGAAATTAAATTATATATTCAACGAAAAAATTTATGATTTCAAAATGCTTAAAAAAACATGCTTGTAATAATTGTGCTTACATAGATTCTGTCGATATCCGTCAACATACGCTTGAACAGATACACAGGAAGACTTCATTGTTTAAAAAGATGTATGTTAGGCAAGAAATCTATGCCCATTTAATATATTTATCCTTTAATCGCCCAACAGAGGAGAATTTTGAATTTTCCTATTTGAAAGGAAAGTTATTATTATTTCTTTTCTCTCCTTTCTTTTTTGCATGCTGTGTTGTGATTATAAATTACACAATAAATGAAAAGAAATATTCGAATTCATTTTAATTTTCTATTTTATAAGTAAAAATATAAATGTAAAAGAAAATTACGATTGTGAACATATATTTGGAAAGTTTGAAATGTTTTGTTACTCTTAACAGATATACACATTAAAATGCACTATTTAATTACCTACTGCAGTTATTCACTGCTACCCACTGAGAACTAGCGTAAGTTCGCAAGGCGATGGAGAGCCTGTCAGGCACACTAACCTTGACGATAGTTCGGTGCTGCATGCCCACGCACGAAAAACATATGTGGTAAACTTCAAAGGGAAAAGCATCGATTTCGACTGCATTTCACGTGCATTCATTTACAAGTCTCAAGCGCGAATAAAAAAACGCGACAATCAAATTCAGATCTTTTGAAAAAATCAACGGTGAGAGATCTGATTGTGCACTCCCGCTATTGCTCATACTTATTTATACACCGTTATATTTAAAATGTAAGAACGTGTTGTCAAAGAGGCACTGCTGCGGACGAATCACAAATAAATTACATACTCGTGAACATTTTTTATCAGTGATATCGCGCACGATTTTATTACCGCGCGAAAAATATTGTACAGTTCGAAAGCACACTACACTCGATACATATCGAGTTCCCTCGAAATCAGCAACCGTCGATGAAATCACAAATCAGCGCCACTGTTGAACGTCGCGCTTCATATCGTTTTCCTTTTCCATTCTGTGAACCTTCTCTCTTTTTTTCTTTCACCCTCTCCTCTCTATCCTTCTTAGTTACCCTCACTCCTTCGTCGCGTCGATACGGTATCCTTTCTCCTTTTCTTACTTACAGCTAATTAGTTTCCAATTCCTTTTGATTTAAAGAAAAAAGCCACTACAGGCAAACAATAATTTTGTTTTAATGAGAAACGACACATCCAACATGTTTCGCGCAGTCGCAACGGTGATTCGGATATTTTTCGCCTCTTTCGTCTCTATCACTTCCCGCCACTAGTCTATACGCGTGTGTACACTACTGTAGATCGCGCGCACCGACTTAAGACCAGACTCGAGAATGACGTAAACCTCTAACAATGAAGAGTGATGTCACACACATCGAAGTTCGTAGAGGTTTGCTCTCACCGTCGCCATCATCATCGCCATCACCATCCATCCAGGGACTTTCGATTCATCGACTGTTTTATTGCGCATTTAATTCACAATATTCTAAACATTTATACCGTCGCGAATGTGTTCTTCGCATAAATCCTTTTTTTGCGTTTTATCTCTACGCAACAATCGAATAAAGACAGAAACGCAGCGATAGTGTAATCAAAAGCAAACTTTTCTCAATGGTTCGTGATCAGGCGTAAGATTAAGGGAATCATTAGGAAATGATTGACGTCATTGATTTATGCTATCTACACACATTTCATTTTGCGTTATACATATGTGTTTGATTTTCCTTTTCCTCCGGTAAAAATGATATCTTTATTGTAAATACAATATAGGTGTACCTTTGACGTTGTCTTTAATGATGCTCAACATTTCGCTTTCTCTGTTTATGGTTTATTCAAAATATTTATTCATTCCTACTTGATATTAAACATAATAAGATGTAATTTGTGAAACTGGGATTCTCTATTATATTCAACGCAATAAACATTATTATGGATTAAAAGTCATTCAATCGAAGTAAGAAAGAACTTTCTTCAATGACAAAGAGTATTTTTCAGTTACTTTATCGTATTTTAATCATAATATTTTCCTTTATAAAATTAAATGATTCAACTATGATGTCACTGCTTATTTGGATTTGTAAGTAACGTATATAAAACAAAGAAAAAATATTTCAACATAGATAAAAAGAAACGTGAATTACATATAATATATAAATTCTAAATAATTGAGTCTCATAAAAATATATTTACAAAATTTAAATTTTAGGTATATAAAATATATGGATTTGGAAATTATATGAAGTATATAAAATAGAATCGTATAGCTCGACATTCATTTTCAACAGGTGGTAAATTACTACAATCGAAATAGTATTTTGTCTTGTATGCCACAAATGGTCATATGACAAAATGTAATAAAGAAAAGTAGAAAACAATTCGACAAAACAACAAGTTACATATCAAAAGCAGATTTTAAACGTTAAATCTTCTTATTTTTGTTTAAAATTGGAAATTTTTAGAAAGATTATACATATTTGAGTATACACATGAAAATGCTGCTTTACTTCGTCACTAGTTTCACTGTAGTTTTTACTCTCTATATAATACATAAATCGTGATAAACATCATTCTCGTGGTGGTAAATGTTTGGATGGTGTCACGACATTCTGTTTGTACCGAACATTTACTGGTATAACGCGATAAGTAGAAGGCGGTAGAATGATCTAGACTCGACATGAAGATGCTTGGTATAATCGTATCTGGTCGGCTTGTAAGTATTAACGTTTCGCAGTGCAAATACCGACATTGTATTTCATTTTCGATGTTAAACTGTCAATTAAACATAATAGTTCATTTACCACGAATGTATTAATGTTCATAATTAAGATGTATTTTGTTGCTCTTTCCCAGTTTCCTATTCTTTAAGAATTGTGTCGTTTTGTTTGGTATCTTGTTTTTATTACCTTTCAGTAGTGCCCCCACCTCACTCCACCCTGTCGTCAGCTTGTCACGAGCATCTTTACATCTAATCGAACATGTTAAATGTAATGTCGACGAATTCAGATTTTTTTCAAATTTCAATCAATAAACCCGAATTCCACAAAATATATGTACAATATGCAATTATAAATGTTACATTTTAATTAACAGGTGCAAACGGATTTTCAACAGATAGGAGAAAACCAGTTTTTAATAACAGTACCTGATGCAGATAATATAAATCATATTGTGGTATTTCTCACGGGTACTATACCATTTCCAGATGGTACTGGTGGTGCAGGTATCTATCATATTATCATAATATTATAAATATTATGGTACATAATTACTAAGTATTAGTTTTCACAGTGTATTTCAGTTGGCCAGATTCAAATGCTCCACCTAACTGGCAGTTTCTGGGATACATTTCAAATATAAAACCATCTGCTATATTCAAGATATCAACTTTGAAGAAAAACCATGAATTTGAAAACAGCAACTTAGGAATTTTTGGTGTAGGAAAGATTTCTCATGTCGCACAAATAGGAGTTTCGGTTGAACCTATTGGAGCTATAGAACAACAAGCAGCTACTGTGACAGAGGCCACATCAAACTCATTTCTTGAATTTGTTCAAAAAATGATTACTAGTTTTTTGAATTATATTTCAAGTTTTTCTGTGACTCAGGCACAAATGACACCAAATCCCTCAGAAAACTTTGTACCGCTATCTGCTATTCAAGGATGGTACGAGACTTTTGAGAGGAGGTTACAGCAAAATCCAAATTTCTGGAAAGCATGATGAGAAGTAACTAACTCTTGATAGTTCGTTTCCATTTTGCATAGTGATGCGTCATTTTTCCACATTCATGCTTGCGTTTGTGGAGTATGGTGTACCGAAATGCATCGCATTGTGCGCGTAAATTAAAATTTTTTATATTTTCACTGAAGAACAGTATGATAATAATAAGAGTAACTATGACGCTGTCGCGTACCTTACTCAAAATGCAGAATTTGCTACCTGTAAGTGTTTAGCATAAGCATTGATCGCATTTTTAATGTTACTATTATGTGTATGTGTTCTATGAATTTACCATGAAAGAGTAGATAGCTATTGTATCATCCTTATTTCAATTGTTTCACGTTTTACAAACAACATATTCGCAAAATATTGTGAACATGTAAATATTTTTAATTTACGATAACATCAAGAAAAAAAGATAAAAAAGGAAAAAGACCGTTAAGATTAATTTATGATTAAGGCAGTATAAGTAACGCATGCGTCAACTTCCATTTTGTTCCTGAGGTTTGTCAACATCCATGGATAATTATAAAGCTAGAGTGTTCGGTTACAAGAAGAAAGTAACGAATGATTATTAAGAAATTTGCGCGACGATGCTGGTTATACTTTCACAACGTCAAAGTTAAGATTTATTAATATGTGTTCACACAATAAAATCTTTTCGAATATATTAATTATTTAAATTGTATTTATATTACCTATCTTTTATTGATTTTGAAAAGTGCTAAGTATTTTCTTGCATCGCAGTGACCAATGATTTAATAGTTTAGGAAATGATTCTTTCGTTGTAAATGGCTACTAAGAAGCATATCGAACAGTGGAAAAACGGCTTAATTTGTATATAGACTAATCTGTCAGTGTAACTTTCACATCGAGTAGAACGAGTATCTTTCAAAAAAATTATCAGAAACTGAATTCTTTATAGTGTTATTGTTTAATAAGTACTAAAAAAAAAAAGTAGAAGAAAAAAGCAAACAATTTAATTAATGGAGATCGCTCCCTGTGATACTGGCCATTCCTCTGAATTGCCGTAACGAAAAGTGATCGCGTTTGGATTGGACTCGCATAAGACTAGTGGAATCGTTTATCCCGTAAGCTATCTACGTACCTATTAAGAAAAATCTAAAGTAATTAGGTACTTGCCAAGCTTGAAATCAAAATTGCTATATCTATTTCTACGCGGAGAAATGCTTTCTCTCTCTTAATTGAGTAATGTCCACATTGTACTTCTCGTGTAAACGACTGTTCATGGATTTTGTATGAAGTATCAAAACGGTTGGATATCGTCCATCGCGGAGAAACTTCGCAATTCAAGGTGAGACATCATCGTTATTATAAACTTGTCACATTTTGTTTATTGTGATTCGTTGGGAAAAACACGCAAAAAATATTCAATCATTTTATTTGAAAATGTCTTTCTTATCTTTTAATGATTTCTTAGCTCCTTACGTACAATTTTGTTTAATTTAGTAATTGTGTGTAACTGAATCGGTTGTAACATCAACCTTCGACATTCGCGGATATGCATATATCGATTTAAAAGATTTTTACCGATCCAATGGATTTTTAATTTTTATATTATTTGAAAGTTTAACTACTTCTAAGTAAAGAATGATAATTTTCTTAACATTTGTATAAATTTAAATAAACATTTTTTTTATGAAATAAAACGAATGAATTATGTAGACAGAATATTTTTTCACAAATAGTGTATTTTTGCTCTTTTACCAAGATATTTTTGCATATGAATCTACTCCAAAATGACATAAATCAATAAACGATAATAAACATAAGTCCTTTCGTTTATATTATATCGACGTCTCGTTCATTTCCTATCATATTATTTCGAATAAGTTTAACGAATTTACCGTTTAATCGTATTTTAAACGATTATGCACTTAACAATTGATAAAATATGTAACACTGTAATTGTTTACAAATTTTTGATAACGTATATTTGCGATTACTTGAACTTATTGAAATTATATATTAATAAATATGTATTTTAATATGTAGTAAATAGCTAAAATTAGTAAATAGCTGTGATAAGTTGGAATTATCCAATTTCACATTATGCGTATAAACTATGTGAGTAAGGTATAGCCCGCAATTAGAATTTTTCATGTTCAAGAAGGAGACTCAAGTTTGTATATGATGTGTCACATAGAGAGGAGATGGAGAATTCTGAAGAGCCAACAAGTTTGCAATCCATTTGTCATTTACATGCTTCGGAGTTATTTCCAAAGCATACACATTTTGAATGCGAGGATCAAACACTTATAGTTCCATTTACACCTTTGAGTGGGGAATCTATTGTAGCACTTGGACGTACATCGGATGGAGTGTTGGCTCTTTCTAACTACAGACTCTATTTACAATTAAGTCAGGCATGTTACAATATTCCATTGGGTTTAATAGAGCAACTAGAAGTTAAAGAAATTTTTTTCCTACATATTGGTTGCAAGGATGCTCGTTCTCTGAGGTATGACACTTTATGTCACGAAACTTATAGCATTTCTATTTTATGATTCCTATTGAAATGTCAACTATAATTTAATACCTTTAGTTGTGTCTTTGCCACGAATGAACATTGTTTGGAGTGGTTTAAACGATTACATAAGGTGACTTGTCCACGAAAGAGTATAGAAGATATATTTGCTTTTGCATATTATGCTTGGTCTATAGAGGAAGGCAAAGATAATTCCAAGTTAGGAAAAAATAACATATCGTACAGTGCTACTTTTAATTCAGAAGTAAGTGAGTAGTAACTATAAATAAGGTACAATTTAAGTATAATTTAAATGTTTTATGTGTTTCTTAGGTAGAACGATTAAAATTTAATTTGCATGGTACATGGCGCATAAGTCAGATTAATAAAGATTATCGGATGTGTCCATCCTATCCACCGTTACTTCTGGTTCCTTCTTGCATTTCTGATGATAGATTCCTGCTGTTGTTTGGAGGTACTTAGAAAGAAAACAAAATAAGGAAAAAAGAAACATATTTAGGTTGATATGATTGTTTTTTTATGATATGTCACATACTTGTGTTTCATAATTTTAAAGGCATGTGAATAATGGTGCAGTAATAGCACGAAGTAGTCAACCAGAAGTTGGATGGCTTGGTTGGCGAAATTCGGGTGATGAAGAACTTTTAAAGGCCCTCTCGGATGCATGTTCCTACGATAAAGGTGAATCAACGATGGTGGATTTGTCTATCACTTACCCCGATACTGGTGATGATAGTGTCACAACAAATAATACAAAAGTAAGCGTCTAGTTAGACAAAGTTTTAAATTCATAAATATTTCGAAGCTGTATGGTCTTTTGCAAATTAATAATACGTGTTATTTGTAGAAAGTCTTAATCGTGGACGCTAGGTCATATACAACTGCTGTAGCGAATAGAGCGCGTGGGGGTGGTTGCGAATGCCCCGAATATTATCCTAGTTGCGATATACAATTTATGAATTTACCAAATATTCACTCGATACGAAAGAGCTTTCATGCGGTGAGACAGTTGTGCGCGTCGGATGCGGATCAACCAAAGTAAATAATATTTCGCTTATTCGCTCATTTTCTTCTTTTATTGAATTTATTTATTATTTGAATCGAATTCATTCGAAGTTCATATTTTCTGATCTTTTTTATAATATACAGTTGGCTCAGTCTTTTGGAAGGAACACGATGGTTACAACATATGTCTGGATTATTACGTGCTGCTGTGACTGTAGCATCGGCAATTGAAAGGGATGGTCGTCCGGTACTGGTGCATTGCAGTGATGGCTGGGATAGAACACCACAGATAGTAGCTTTAGCACAGATTCTTCTTGATCCTTATTATCGGACTATGGAGGTAGGTTCAGGGTACTTTCTTTTATTTTGTTTTTATTTACAATGAATAATCCTTTCCTTATTCTGTCTTACTTAGGGATTCCAAGTTTTATGTGAGAGAGAATGGTTAGACTTTGGGCATAAATTCGCGGATCGTTGCGGGCAAACGGTTGGTTGCGAAGATCCAAACGAACGATGTCCAGTATTTTTGCAGTGGCTCGACTGTGTACATCAGTTAATTCTACAATTTAAGTGCAGTTTTCAAATGTCTTCTGCATACCTCGTAAGTAGGCAGAAATTCACGTGTATTTGTATAATCAACCCATTTAATTGACTATTAAAAAGTGAATTATCATCATACTAATTAGTTATTGATTTCAGGTGAAACTTGCACAACATACGTATTCTCAGCTTTTCGGCACATTTCTTTGTAATACGAGACAAGAAAGGTTACAGTTAAGAATACGAGAACGTACATTTTCGGTTTGGCGTTTCCTCAACTCCAGTTCATTCGTAAATCATTTATACTCTCCTTTAAAGAATCAAGTAAGATTTTATTAATCACGTATATTAATCGTAATAAATGTGTTACTCACTTACTTAAGGAACGTTTATTTTAATAACATGCATACATCATGTCTTATTTCCGCATAAATTTTGGAATATAACAAGTAACTGTAATTTTGAGTATTTACTAATAGGCACACTGCTCATTAAAGTATTTTATTTATTGCTAGGTATTATGGCCAAGTTGTAACGTACGTGACCTCGTTTTATGGTCCGAAGTATATTTAGGTTCTATGGAATCTCCTCTCGGTATCAGAGATGATAAACAAAGAGTAACAATGATAGATATCGAGGGTGGTGAGAGTGATGAACCAGAAGGGCAAATGACTAAAACTCGTTCGTATGGCGATCTTATGCACACCCCTGATCATGCGGCCTATCTTCATCGTCGACTAAGTGATCCAAGCGCTTCAGTGGAAAAGTAATTACTTTCATTTGATTTTTTATAGGATATAGTGCAATAATGTTTATTGCGTGAAATTCGCATTTTTAAATTCAAAATAAAGGAAATGTATCGTCATTTAACTAATATGATTACAGGAAATTTGACTCTTTAACGCTCGAGACAGAAACGGGTGAAAAACCTACAAAACACGCAGAGAATTGTAAAGATGATGATACAATAGAGAAGAATATAACGGAGAGTTTGGATAATACGAAACATTACACGACAACGACGCAAACTTTGAACGATTCTCCGGTGAATCCATCTGTAGATAGTTCAACAGACACACTAATACCCAGCAACGATTCTTTACTCGGTACAATCGATAAAGAAACGTAAGTATCATCGTATATTTGTATATTCCACGATATGAGCGCGAACTTGATAAACTAATTAATCAGAAAACTCCGAATTCCGAAATTTGAAATTTAAAAGTAGAGTCGAGAAACTAAATTCGACTCGAACGAAACAACGAAAGTTTTTGTCGAGCAGCAAAACGGAAAAAAATTCACCACCAGACATCGTATCTCCATGGACCGAGAACAATGCAACAAGTCGAATCGGTTGCTCTTGCAGTCAAAATTACAAACATAACCACAATGAAGGTAGTGACGTAAGCGACACCAGCGCACCGCAGATATCAAGAACACCTAGTAGCGTTTGTCCAGCTTCACCAATTTATCAAGATACGGTACCAGATAATCCTGAAAGATTGGATGATGTCGATGGTCTTCCTTTTATACATTGTGACGTTCAGATGCGTGTGCAACAGATTATCGTGGAACATAAGGTATTAATTTTGGTCAATTGAACATAATAATAATAATAATAATAATGAGGAGGCATTTAGAGTTGGACGATTATGATGTTTCCTTTCCTTTTCTTTTTTTTTCTTTTTTTTTATTACTTTTCAGTTGAAGGAAGAAGCTTTAAGGAAGGAATTACATACGACGAGAATGGCTCTGATCAAGCAAGTTTGTAATCATAATGCAGAGATCGATCGCGTTGATGATATCGTGAGTTGATTAAAAATTATTCCATTCAGAGTGATCAAGACTGATATTATCGAAAAAAAAAGTATAGTTTTTCTAATAAAAAGCAAATGCACGCACACACGCACGGAAAGAAAGGAAAAAAGAGAAAAAGAAAAATTGTAAATAATCAAAGGAAGGAATGTGGATTCAACGTGATCGCTTGTTTCAGGGATCGTTACCCGATTCAGTTGGAAGTACTGGCGATCACGGAGAATCATTACCTTCGGACATGTCATGGGAAGCGGTGGAGGAATTAGGTCCTGCTCCTACTCTTTGGGTACCCGATCACGCGGTGAGTCGATGCATGGGATGTGATACGGAATTCTGGCTGGGTCGGCGTAAGCATCATTGCAGGTACGCGACACGCAGAGTAGTAGCATTTGCAATATCGTAATGATTACTTAGTAATGTGTTTGGATGGAATAGTTATATAACACAGCAAAGTGTAGAATTAATACAAGAATATAATTTTACAATTTTGCTCATTTGCTTATTTATCTCAGATGCTGCGGTAAAATCTTCTGCGCGGATTGTTCCGAGAATTCGACACCACTACCTAGCGAGCAACTATACAATCCTGTTAGAGTTTGTAGCGAGTGTTTTTCACGACTTCACCGGCACACGAGTCCTTGTCGGTGTAATGCTCGTTATCAGAGCAAAGGAGAAAATGACGCGGAGATCTCGTCAAATTCTGAAAGTTTGACCACTTGTCAAAGATCGAAAGGTTTGAACCTGACGAAAGACACTTGCTGCGATAACTTATTGCAGGTTGTGCATCAGAAAGCACAACCTCCAGTTACAGCAGCTACGGTAAATTGAAAACTCTCGTGCGAGCGATGGAGCTCGACGAGAAATGTTCGTAGCATTCGGGTTTCTGTTTGGCTTTCGACGATGCGAGAAGTGTATCCTTAACATGATAAGTCAGCTGCGATACGCGTTCACGCGTTTATCATCTACATCTGTACGATGTGTACTACGACTAGATGTATATGTCGCGTGCGAGCCGGTAGCCATCAACACAGTTAGATACTTGGAGCGATCCAATATTTATTGCTAGAGTAATTATTTGTACGAGAAAGAATGTATAGTGCATCGGACAAAGTGAGAAAAGATGAGATGGTATACGAGAGGTATATACCTCCTACGTATACAAAGGAGTATAAGTTGATTCAACGAGGAGATACCTGGCTTCTTCGAACGAGACTATTCAAGTTTCCCCGTTTTTAGGTGACCTTATTCCCTTTTCAAAGATACAGCAAGATGAGGTCGAGGAATATTTTGGATAGGCTGTGACTGACGTCTAGTTCTAGACACCATATGAGGTGCGCTCTTAATTAAACATTGATCTATCGGTCGATGAAACAATTCGTTATTATTAGTAGTTGGATTACGATACGAGTAACCTGTATTTGTATATTATCGCTGTTTACGAGAATTGGTATATTAAATGTCATTATCGTAATGTGCGATTGTCTCTCTGTCACTCTCACTTTCTCTTCCTCTCTTGCTCGTGAGCATGCCTGCTCTATTTATTGTTTTTCATACAGTGATCTTCAATCCCACAAAATTCTAACGTGATTATACGTTTTTTAACGTCTGTGTTGCGTTTATTATGTTATCAAAATTTTTCTTCGTATCATCAGCATTTTGGAATTGTATCAGAATAACGAGATATGTTGTTACAACACCCGCAATCTAAATCATATGCGCACACGCGCAATACACGTTTTATATTATTTAAATATATTTATTTTTATACAAGTAATTAAAACACCCTTACCGACGTTATTAGATTTCTGTCCAACGAAAAGAGTCCGCATGCTGAAAACTCGAGAGGTCGATGCAATAGTTGAAGCGAAAATATTTCCAATTCTCGTCGAGCGTTTGCTTCAAAACTACAAGAAAGTAACTGACTAACGAGAACTGCTGTTCTTTTTCCCTAAAATCAGAGTATTTTTCAAATTTTTCTTCCCGTTTACTTTGTTTTCTTACCTCCGCGATTGTGAAATAGCTGGGTTGGACGATTATTAGCATTCTAGTTATGTGAAAGATACACCATCCACCTTGTACAACCAGAAATATCCATTCGTGTATTTCACCAGCTTGTAAAATCAAGAAGTAAGGCGTAATGACTAGATGTAATAGACAGGTTACAGTAACGGCCAATATCACAACTCCGAATGTACTATTTATGAGGGAGACTGCATCGCAAAGCGAAGAATGAACCAATATCAATTCGGATATGCTGTTTACATACATTTTGCTTTCTGCAAATATACGAAATCGGACTAATATATTCTTCAACTGATTAGTTTTTGTCGTGTTTGAATTTTATTAATTGTTTAACAAATTTACCGTCCAATCTGCGTGAGAGTCTATAGCTGCCCAGTACAAGCTGGCGTTTCGATGTAATGTTCCATCTTCTTTTGTCGCCAATATCGTCAACTGCTTATACGAGCAAACAAAATATATTTGATCGATTATAAACAAAATGTTTCAGTTATTTTATGAACGATAATACGAAATTACTTTTAAGAGAAACTTAATCGTCACGATGATGACTACAATTTCATTTTATTTACCTGTCTCGGTACATTTTCGGAAATAATCATTCGCATTGTCATTACTATTGTTGTTTGCATCGAACAGAGCTTTGAGGTTACTATTCAAGCGAATAAATCTTTGTCCTACGTTATACGTTGAGATAGTGTATTGGATTTCCGTTGAAATGATCACAGTATACATGAAGTATAGGGGCGCATAGTTGATTGGACCTTTGCCGGTCATCGTATTATTACTGACTCTCGTTTTACGGCTCCATGTATAGAAGTCTAGAATCGAGTTAACCCAGAGATAAGCGAGACTGCATACTGTTACACTAATCGTGAATCTTCGAGCTTTCTTGGCAGACGTTACGCCGATCTTTTCATCTACCTAAAATAAAACGAGCAGGTTCTGCTATGATGGAAGTGCAGACGCGTTTTATGCTCGAACTTGTTTCGATTGTTCATAAAAGTGATAGGACGTTCTCATTCACCTCGATTAATTTGTTTATGACGAGTTGCAGGTATTTCCAGCGAAAAGGGGAGCCAATGATACAAACCACAGTTAAACTCATTACTCCAAGCACATCGCTGAATGTTGCGATTACTGCTGTTCGAGATATTAATCTGGTACTATATTCCCAGCCGTCTTTCATATCTCGCCATAAACCCCAAATTTCCGCACTGAGCAGCAATATTAGCACACACAAACTACGAAACGCATCACGTGCGTCATATTATTCAATTTTGCATTAATAGAAACATTTTTACACTACCAAATGATCTGTCAACTGTTTACCGCTTTTTCTTACCTATATACGAGGTCTATGATATTTAAACGAGCCTGAAATCTTTCGGGACCATGTGTAAAAAATCTTACTGGAACCAAACCACATATTTTACCAAGGTAATATATTGGAAAGATTGCTCGGCAAAGGTCACTGCTGAATGAAGCTTTCCCTCTATTCTCTATTCGCTTTAACTCCATCTTCCAATTTTCCAATCGATTTTCTAAGTTTATGTATTTGCGAACGAAACGATTCGATCTATTTGTATTCTGTTGTCTTTTCACGCGCAATCGATCAAATGCACAAGGGGATCCCACTGTGAAAATAGAAATGAATTTTTAATTACTATCGCTTTTTATTTTCTTCACGTTTATTTGCTATTTTCACGTTATGTTACGCGTTTTACTTACGAGACACTTTAAATAACGAACGTTAGACGATGTACTGTCGATTTGGCATGGTTGTTCCAGTTTGCACACATTTCTGTTTCACATACATTTTTTTAAATATTATTAAAAAAAAAATGCAGATTAGATAAAATGGATTAGAAATATAAGAAATAATAGAACACCTACGTTACAATGCACCTTTCTCATAGAATAAGTTTCAAATGGTTTTAAACATGTTGCGAATGAAGAAGAAAATACTGCTTTACCAGTGTTTACTGCGGCACAATCTCTCTCCTTCTCTGACTTTTATAATCGTTTAAAGCACATTATATCAAATACTAGTCTTGGCTTTACACATTCATTCCTGTCAGATTGTTGACAGGTAATTATTGTTGATATCACGATATTGACTTTCCTGAGAAACAACACGTTTCTTCGTTGAACGCTTAATGGTATCATTGAGCGCGAGTGTTCATAACAGGTGTTCATAGATACATAAAGTTAGGTAGAAACTCCAAGTGCGCGCGCACGCTAAGAGGAAGAAAGAGAGAGAGAGAGAGAGAGAGAAATTTTAAACAAGTTATTAAGTTTAGAACATATTTTGTATTAAAAACTGGTAAATATAAAATGTAGGAGTAACTGTTTACCATGCAATATGAAAACATTATGAAATAGAGGATCATGTATCGTGAGTTATCAAAAAGAAAGAGTGCATCGAATAAACAAGTTCGGTGTAAGTTTGATTTCACCAAACTATTCCTACCTTTTGATCACCATCAATGAAACAATGAAACATTGTGATAAACATTTATATAATGATATTGTAATGTGATTTACTACGACGTAAAAATCGTGGCAAATAACATTCGTGTTGGTAATGTTCGATACTTGATCTTTCCTCATATCGTATTTGTCGATCAATTCCCCCATTCTCTCTTTCATTGTGACGTTTTTCTCCCTCTAATTATAGATACCTACGTTATTTAAACAAAAATAAAATGTGCCGGCATTACTTATTGATAAACTCAAAAACATGCTTTGCAGGGTTATTTGGTCTATTCAATAATTTAAAGTAGAGAAAAGAAATAAAATTTAAGCTGCTCTTAAACGTTTACTCTTCATCAAAGTGTATCTCTGAAAATATGTATATCTTGCGTTACGAAAATTACGTAAATTTGATTTTATCGTAATTTGCACTCGAATTTACGCGCTACTGGATAGCGACATCTAGCGAAGTTATTGGTAACAAAAGTTTGTCGTTGCGATTCAAGGCCATCGAGGTTAACAGAATGGTTTCGTTCGAGGTTAAGTGTGTTTGAACTTGATCCTGGATATACAAGTTTCACGTTGATCTGTACTGATTAACTGATTATTTGTGAATAACTTTAAGCATTTTGAAGTGTTAGAAAATGGAGCGTAACGAAGAAGATTGGTCGATAGAATGTTCAGATGATGAGAAATACGAAATGGATGGAAAAGTGAGTAAAAGATGAAAGGAAAATATCAATAAAATTCCATTTTCGCGGTACGTTTAGTTTTTCCCCTTTTTATTTCATTTTCGTATTCATCTAGAATGAATGGACGCTGAAACCCGACGATATATTAACGTTAATCGAAGCTCTTGAAGCTAATAACAGAGCTCTGGAACTTGAATGGAAGTGTCCTGGTAGACGAGGTCCGTCACCTGTTCCTTCGAACAATCGTCAACAAGATAATGGCTCACAGGAGTACAAGTACCTACTGCTATCTTTTAACTTTAAATATTCTGCATCGTTTATATTATGTTTTATTTTTATTCTGTTGTATCGTTTCTATTTATTTTTTTGTTTAGGGCGGAGGAAAAGTCTGATTTTGATTTCATGGATGAAATGTCGTCCCCGAGATTACCAGTTCGAAGAACCGGAGAAAGTACACCAAAGGGAAGCGCTAAGAAAAAGACTGCTAGTTTTAACGGCGTACTATCGACTATGTTGCGACATCGTAGATTAGAACAACAGGAGATCAATTCGAGTCCAAAAAAGATCGAATCACCTGTATCGAAAACACAACCAACTTAACCGCTTTGTCGATATCATTGTGGTATAAATGTTCGAGCAAAACACATGGCGAGTACAATTACTCGATCCTCTTAAATACTTTGAAAAATGCACAAAAATGCACTTGGAATCGGTCATCTTCTGATCGATGTTTAAAAGATCTGATTGAAATTGTATTCATCGGTATTTGTATTTTGCGTGCTTATTATTTAATTGTGTCCTTGCATATGTAATGCTGTGTCACTTCCTTCACAGAGATACACACGTTGTGATATTCGCGTGTGAGTGGGATTTCAACTTATAGATACAGTTAGACAGTATATATTTATTTAAAAAGCAAATAAGTAAAACGCGATATATGTTATAAACAGAGGGAAACGAAAGAACAAAACAAAAAGGGAAAAGAGAAATAAAATTTATATTTTTATTTAGGATTTGTGGTAGCTGATGGTTCGTGTTTAGCCCATGCTGGAAATTCACTGGTATCATAAACGAAGTTACCCCACGTGATGAAACAAATACTGTTCACTATGAGAGCATAAATGGAAGGACCACAACCTCCTATCATTAGCCATTTAGTTGGAATTTGTCCGACAATCGATATAATTGCATTCGGGGGTGTACCAACCGGTAATCGAAAGGAATAGGAACACATTATTGTCGCCGGTATCATTAAGTACAAGGGATGCATCTCCATTGCTACACACTGTAAGCAATACAGTAACCATTAACAAAGTAATGATAGGTTGACGAATAATGTTCCTTTTTTAAAGTTAACTTTTACCATTTGTGCAATAACCGGTAAAGTAATATTTGCGATACCGACATTCGAAGTGAATTCCGTAATGGTACCAATGAGCAAGGAAACAAGAAACAGGACTAATACAGGGGGCAAGTATCGTAACGGAACCATGGCTTCTCCGATCTTTCTTGCTAAATTGGAAGCAATACTGCCTTTGGATATCGCGAATCCACCACCCAAAAGAAACATTAAACTCCAAGGCATTTTTTTTTCGATCACATCCCATGTGATCAAACCTTCTGTAGATTTGCTAGGTCTTGTAGCAGCTACGAAAACAAACAATATATCAATAAACTGACAATTCATATGTTCAACGATTGCACAATGGAAACCATTATCCAATTTCTATCGTATACTAACGATCATCGTTGTAGCTACGAAGAAAGCTTAAATCTTTTGGAATGAAGAACATCAGGATCGATATGAATATAACAGGCGTCGAATCCCGGACGTTTCTGTAAATAAGATTCATAAATAATTAAAGGTATACACTGAATGTGCATTTGTGCATGCGCGCGTATCTTTGTTAAAGAATGGATGAAACATGTAAAAAGATATTTAACATGTCTGTTAATGCTTCAGACCATCCTCGCACGAAGCCAGGTTTTCGGAATAACCATAAAAATATGCAGATCGCAAAGAGACTTGCAACTCCTATTTCATGAAACGTAATGGTACCTAGTTCTTTGTATCGTTGCTGTATTACCTTCAAACAAAAAAGAAAAAAAAATAATAAACGAACCATTCTATGAAGAGTAAGAAAAATTTATAATTACTAGTTACTTGATTTGTAATGATTTCTCCTTCTGTACCAATATTTGCTAACTGGGCATCTTTACTCTGTGGTCTAAGATAACCCAAAAAAATTATACGAAGGTAAAGCCATGTCAAAAAGGAATTAATTATCATTTGTGGCATTGCGGCAATCATCCATTGCGTGAAGTTAATACCGTCTGCATTAGGAAATGTATTTTCGAAAATTCCTTTAAAAGTAAGATTAGTGCCGGTGCCTACGATTGTTCCTGTGCCTCCAAAGGATGAACAGTACGCTGCAGCCATTAAATAAGCTTTCGTTATCTTCGTCGGTATCTGTTCCCTGTGATGTCAGTGTTATAATTAGAAAATTATAATACAAAGTAATTCTTGTACGTATCCTATATCTTTTTTCCATTTTCGTTTCCTTTCTTTCTATCCCTGTTTTTCTTTTTTGTTTCTTTCATTCATTCATCCTTTTCATCCTTCTTTTTATTACTTTCTCCGTTCATTAATTTCATTCTCATTTATGTTTTATTTTTTTTTAAATATTATTTCCATATCTTACGGTTGTTGTTCTGGATTTCTGGGATCAGTTGTCGGTTCAAAAACATGGCAAAGTCCAGCCTAAGAAGAGGATAAATACAGTAAGGAGAGAATTTTCTTGGTAATATCCGGGTATTTCGAAGATGTATTGTTTGTTTACGTAAGGAAAAAGGAGATAAAAATATCAAACCTGTTCTAATTCATTTAGAATTGCGAATATAATCGGTACCATCATGGCGGTCGCTGCTGTATTTGAAACCCACATGGATATGAAAGTGGTCACGACACAAAGGCCACCAAGTAATTTCCCATGACTACATCCCACTATTTTCATTACTCCAAGAGCAATTCGTAAATGTAAATTGCTATGTTCAATGGCTACAGCAAGAATTAGACCACCTATGAAAACCATTATAGTATCGTTCATATAACAAGCGCACGTATCCGATGTGCTTAATAATCCAAATGCTGGAAATAACACCACTGGAATCAACGATGTAACAGCCATGGGGAAACATTCAGTGATCCAATATCCAGCCATAAGTAGTATAATGTATGCGCATCTAGTTTCCTACGAATATAAAATAAACGTTTTATAACACTATGCCTTTAGATTTTTCTTTGAGTCAAGTACCGGAACATTATAAGCAAGAAGAAATATTGCTAGAATAATTGCCCATGATAAGGCAAACACTATTTTCCAGTATATTTTGAGAAACCTCATTGTTAGCGTTAAATTGCTTTCCGACGTAATCTCTTCTGATGCGACTTCTCTCGGGGGCATATCTTCCTATTATTTCTATCGTCTTTTTTACAATATTTGATGTCTTATATATCAATGGGGAAAAACGATAAACGAAAGTTGCAATTAATTGCTTATTCGTATCTATGTACGTATGATTTGTTTATTCTTCTTTTGTTACATTTGTGTGTGACAACCATTCTTATTCGATATATGTTTATATACATTGGTTCGTGTACCTACTACTTTAGATGGTATCGTTGTGTTACCAATAATCTGATACTTTTGACCTTTTTTCATTAATCTAATATTATGAATTTTAATTCTATTTTATCACATTTTAATCGCATCATACATACTACGTTTAAAATTTTACCCTTTTTATGACGAATTAAACATTTTTAAAAATATGCGATGGTGATCGATCACGCTTTTTTACTAAAAAATCAAATTAAAAATGATGTTTTAATTCGTTCAATCAAAAGTAACCTGAAACAAAATATCAACATTTCACTTCTCCTCGCTGCCGTGAGATGGCACCATCATTTGAACCAAGATCACAGTATACGTATAAGTTGCCGCGTATTGTATGGTAAAGTGGAGAAACTCCCTAGAACCTGTCGATACAACGAAACTCGGTGAAACTCACCAGGATCTGTGGGCAAGACGCATCGTTCTGCGTTACCATGTACAGATAGAAGTAAGATTTCGCTTTACTATACTCTTGTTTTTCATCGTGATGCAATCCGCACACAGATACATGTGCGTGCAAGTTTGGACACATTGCAAATATATAAAGAAAAACAAATTTAATTTGTATTATTAATAAGAAACAAAGGATTAGTTACGACTATTCATCTATAAACGTGTATAAACTCGCATCTGTTGTGTGATCTTGAACGTGGCGCGCCAATTCGCCGCAATAACGAGAGAAAGAGGGCGATCTTGAAGCCCTTTACACCCCTTATGCGCTCTCATTGCATCGCTCCTAACACTAGTTGTTCGCGTCAGTCGCATGAATGATAAGTTCGACTCAACGCGTTGGCTTTAAATTTCCTATGTCTTAGAAAATTTGAATATCAGAAAATATCGTAAATATTTAAGTGAACGTGCATTGAAAGACGAACGCAGCAATTGTTTGAAATAGCACGTTACTAGCAAGGTAAGTAAATGGTATGCATGCATGGTGTGTACTGACAGTACCGACATTCTATGCTCGCGGAACTCGTCGATTTTCGTCGACGAATGCTCTGCATTGCGCATTTGGTGAAGGACAGGTGAATGTATCATCATCGTCAACCTCGTTTTGTGTTTACTTCCTGTCATTTTTGCGTCACATTTTCTTATATTTTTCGAATTTTCTCTTCGATACCATTTAAAATATAGTTTATATTGCACGAGGAAATTCAGCAGTATAGGTTAAAATTTCGCGTGAACTTTATCTCTGATGAAATAAAAGCATTTACGTCTTATTCTTTCCTTTTACCGTAATTGAAGAAACTATACAGAATATCTCGGTCTCTGTTGTCTTCTATCAAACATTTTTCAAGTCAAAGTTAATTAATTTTTCAGTTGAAGCCAAAGGAGCGTATAACTGAAAAATACGTTCGGAAGAAACCAAGCATCGAAAACGAGGTGGGTCGACGGATATATTGTAAAGCAGCGGGAATAGTACCCTGTATTTTTTCCAAATTTCTATCATTAATCATTTTTTTCCCATATCGAAGTGTAAAATGGTTTCGATGAAAGAGAGACAAAATAAGAATTTTAATAACCAAATACAGAGAAACTGCCAACGAATTATTGAATCCGTTACACACGCTTTCGTCATCGTATAAAAGATTACAAGAGGGGAATGTCGTGATTAATTTCATAGTTTGTTTATTTGTAACAAAGTCGATCGTAGATTTGGCAGTTCGGTAGAAAGGCATCGGACGATTAGTAAGGTACGGGTTATATCGCGAGTAGGTAAGGGAATGAATACGAAAGAAGGAGGATAATGATCGAGGCGAAGCTAGGGCAGGGTGCGAGTCGAATAGAGGCGGCGGTGCTGGTGACGGCAGGAGTGGGCGCGGGTGAGAAACACTGACATAGGAAGAAAGAGGCGGGCAACTAGGCAGCGATAGAGAAAAGGAGAACGCGGCTCACGTATTTACCTATACAGTCGGAGAGTTGCGTGTATATACACGGACTCGAAGGATGGCGAGTGCCGCGATATCGATCCCACGCAATATCGCGTTGTTCCCAGTAGCGTTTCCGCGGGCGTAGCGACGTTGAACGTGGCCGCGGTGGTGGCGGTGGTGGTGGCGGCGGTGGTGGTAGTGTCTTTTTTGCCGGTGTCCGAGTGTGACGATTACTTCAACTTTGTGCACCGTTTGTATATAGCTTTCTTAGCTGATATTAGTGCTGGCCTTGACCATTCCGCACTCTTCTTACGATTTTCGCTAATCGGCCATTATTTATAACACCCTGAAAAATTTAATTGTAATATTCCGTGTGTGAAAAATCGGAGAAAGGAAAATATCGAACATTTATGGCTGTTCTCTTATAGGTAACATCAACGGGTGTATGAGCATCGTCCGATCTCCAGTGAAGATGTGGGGTAGAGCAAGTATGGCAGCTGTAATGGTTCTGCTTCTTGCGTATTTCTGCACGCTGAATGTAGCCTATGCCAAAGGTATATTTCATCTTTTACGCAATTTTTTAAATGTTCACTGAAAGAAGGAGGATGGATAGGTGGTAAGAATGGTAGAAGAGATTGAACTAAATCGCATCGGTATGTTGTAGGGAGCATCTCTGAGACTGGTTCCACCGACAACGACGGGGAAAACATTTTGGAACGTGCAACTGCGTGGCTATGGAGTCAACGTAATAAAGATGCCGGCTGGGGAAACGATACCCATCGAGTTTTGTTGGTTCTTCGGCTGGGTAACCTCTCGCGGGAGGATAACGTTGCACCAGTGGCTCCTCTTGAACTGCAGCTCAGCAGTAAACAGATGGAACTTGAAATAGTTTTGCTGTTGTGGAGGTAGTCACACTTTTTGATTCGTTTTAGTAAAAGTAGAACTAGGACAAGACTTTCTAACCTTCGTCGAGAAAATTAAGAACTAAGGGAGGAGAACTGGCCAGGATCTCTATTCGAAGAGCAATGGAGGTATGCATAATTGTGCTTCGTGATTTCATAGGCACAGGGAAATCGGTTTCTCTCCCTGTCGACTAGCCCGCTATACTCTTGCCCTCAACGCCATGTGTACGGACCCAAGACAGTTTCACGGTCACGATTTGATTGGAACGCTTCAACATCACGAGCCACCGACTGATTATGAGTTTGCTCTTACGACGTTAGCTGCATGCAATGCACAAGCTCACGTGCGAAAGAGACAGATACGTCGGTTGTTAGACATTGCAAACGCCGCACAAGATCACAATGTCGGTGAGTATCGTTCATTCGATGTTCACGTAATTTGTCACAGTAAAAGTTAGCTCTCGGATTGGTCTTTTATTCGCGATAACGTTATAGCTACACCTCGTTGTTAAATGTATTATGAGAGCTATGCAGTGCTAAAAGCACGACGAATAATAATCGAGTGCATCGGTTATTACAATTACATTAATTTACCTTCTACGAAATAAGTGCTGAGCCTCCTAACTTGCCCGGGGCAAGTGGCCTATTTGCCTAACGGCGATACCTACTACGAACGATTTCATTTCATTCTGTAATTCGCCTTTTCCATCTTAGATACTGTCGCAATGGTAATCTTAGCCCTAAAGTGCATCGTTCAGGATCACAGACATCGAAATCTTCATCATTTCGTGCGTAAGCCGTCGATCGGTTTAGCGCAACAGCAAAGACTCGACGGTAGCTTTGGAGATATTCGAACAACAGCTCTGGTAATGCAAGCACTTGAAGAGGCGGAAAACGAGCCAGCTGACAATTGGAACAGATCCGCCGCTTTAGCGTGGTTAACGAGTCAGCAACGAGCTGATGGCTCTTTCGCTGGTGATGTTCGTGCAACCGCTGAAGCTCTGCTTGGCGTGGCACCACGTGGTTTAGCAAGCATTAGAACTCTCGATTGTGGCCAAGGACTCGGTGAAACTTCACCACCGAGATTCACCACGAATAGTAACGGTGAGCCTTTCTTCCTCTCTCTTTCTCTCTCTCATTCTCTTTTCCCTCCTTTTCTCTGTATCGTATAGCGTAATAAACGTTTCGATACGATGCTGCAGAGCCTACAGCGACTTCGGGTAATCGGAACGACAGTGTGTCGATATCTGTAATTTCTGGAAGCAGTATATCGAGTAATGCTACCATCGGAAGTAGTGGAATCAGTGGAAGTAATGGAAATAATGGCAATAATGGAAACAACGGCAGTAATGTAACAAACACGTTTAACACGAGTAATATCGATAGCGTAATCGTCACTGGAGCAACGCCGGTTATGGTGAACGTTTCTTATACTCTATGGGTTGGCAGTAATGTAAACGAAACGTATAGCCTGACACTTGTTGCTCCTAAAAACGAAACGTTTTACGAAATGATGCTTCTGGCCTCGGAAATGTCACCGCATTTTCAATTCGTTGCATCCGAATGGCCCAATGGACACTACGTTCATACGATAGCTGGTTACAAAGAGGAACCAATGTCCTATCATTACTGGTTGCTGTATCGACTCACCTCTCCACCGGATCCATCTTCGCCACCGGGTAATCAACTGGTCGCACCTGGCGGTATGTAAAAACAGTTCTTGCTTGACGCGTTGTTTCCCTTTATGTAGTACATAGTATATGCGAAGAGTTTCCCGACATTTTTATATCGTTGCTACACTCTGAGCTGAATGATTTTCCAGGCGTGGATGATCTACAGATCAGCGAAGGGGATCATTATCTTTTTTGGTATAAAAAGCTATGAGGAACAGTAAGATATCGACGTTCGGTCGAATCAAACGAAAAAAAGAAGAAGGAAAAGAACGGAATTGTGTGTGCTTTGAGGACTGTGAGAAGGCAAGAGCAATGAGTAAAAATTTGTAGTCGCTCGAAAACGAGGGCTTATTCTATTCACTGCCATCGCTAGACACACGTACGGTAACGTACGCGACATTTTCCTGGAACACCTCCGTATGGACCGCTCGTATGTCATGTTCTTAGGAAGGTGCCGTAGACATAGAGCTGGCAGTGACTGATTTCCGAAACTCTGCTCTAACCGAGCCGATTCCACAACGAGTCGGCGACACACGACATCGCTATTGGACTGACGTGGTATGGGATAATAACGAATACCATGCGTATAGTAATTTAAGCTAACAGCATATTTTCTATGAAACTGCAATGCACAACCACATTGTACCTACTTATATGATATGGCGATAGCATATAATATCAACGTATCGATTGATATTTAATAAATCCCATATCTATATGTACTAGTAACCTAACCTATTTCTTGGTATCTTGCTGCGCGTATTGCTTTATAATCACCAAATTCCTGCGCTACGAGACAGAAGGTCTGCTTGCCACAATGCATACATTAAAATTTAACCGAACGGAAATACATTTCGATCGACAGTTTTTCATAATTTGCCTAACGTTGTAATATACCGTCTCCTTTGTTTCCTTGAAGTGAATAAAATGTCGAATTACAAATTGTACATGGCGTTTTGTCCCCTCGAGTGTCTGTGTTACCATTGAACAACATCTTCGCGTTCATTAGATCGCCGAGCTACGACCATATATCGCTTATCGTTCGTATAGAAACAGTCAGTTTAGCGGTTCTATCGATCAGCTGTTTCAAGTCGTGCAGTACACATGGCGGTCGAAAAAGTAGCGAGAAGATACACACATGCGCGCACGAGACACGTATGCCTCTCGTGCCACACGCATCAGACGTGTCGTATATATCATTCGTATCGTAATTTGGATCGCTTAGTTCGCTTCAATCGACCTGTCCACGTTTAGTTCCGTACGCCTCTTGGCGTGATCGCAGGTAATCGTTTCCTCATCTACAGCCACGTCTGTCGCGATGGCGCGTTGGTATGGCTACTTGTTATCGCAACCATGTATACGCGGTTTAAGCAGCGTTTATCTTTTATTCTCTATTCCTTCTTTTCTTTTGCTTCTGCATTCTCCTTCTATTTAAAGATACGCGACTTTAATATTGACGAAAATCGCGTTGAAAATTCTTAATGTGAAAAATAGGGAAAAGAAGGGTGTGCAATTCTGTTACTTTGTAACACCCACGAAACAAATGAAGAAATATCGATATAGTTCCTTAAGCGAGATTCTTCGAGTAAGAAATAGAAAAATTTACTTTCACGTTTGTCAACGTTTTTTGATACGTCTTTCTACGTCCTTCTATACGTCTTCTATCTCGATACGAGACTGACGTGGATACATAATCGCTTACACGAATTATTTTCTATCGTAGAATTTAAAATATACCTTCAGCTTATTTAAGTGATAACATAGATGGTTCATTTATGGTATCGAATATTTTTAAATGCAAAATTTTGTACAACGATGGTAGAATTGATCTCGGGAGCTATGTTGCTTAGACACGTTTGACTTATTTCAGCGAGAACTATGGATGCAAAGAGTTTTGTACCGTAATATACGATTAGTTGAATCTCGATAACGTCTTTCTTTCATAGCTGGGTTTTGACAAATATACGCGCGAGAGGCGTGCATGTTGCATTAGCGATACCACGGAATACCTATCGATCAACGCTTAGCGCGATTCGTCTAACCCCATGGATCAGCACTGGGCCAAGTTTGCTTACTTATTCGCGTCCAGAAGGTTCACGTAACTATGCGTGGTCCAAGAAATTGGAAAAAAATCCCAAAATAGGAAAACTATCAATGCTCGTGACATGGCGTTAATTTTTTAAAAATTCTTATACTTCATGCATTTTCCACCCCTAAATTCGCCAACATTTTTAGGATATTCCTGTCTCTCCTGCGTCTTTTGCCAAAATTACAAAGCAAAGCGAGAGATGGGGAGAACAGGTAGGTAAGTGGAGTAAAGGAACGAACATCGAACGTAAGTTCCGTGCAAGTTCGGGAATTTGTATTGCATCCCTCGTAGTCGAAAGACAGCTAGGGAGGGGAGGGTGGATGCACCCCGAGATAGCGTCAAGTGTGCGAGAGGTGCGACATCGTATCCTCCCACCTATTCTTCCCTCCCCTTCTCCCTCTTATTGCACCCTCTTTACCCCCTCCACTGTCTCCTTTGGACATTTCGTTTTATCTGTTCTTTTTCCGCTGCATTTCCCTTTGCTTCCACCTCGCTTGCTTCTATACGTACACGCCACCTATTACATCTTCCTATCTAAAAGGGAAAAAATCCTCAGATGTCGATCAAGAAGGAAGGTGGATTTCGGCGAAGCTTGACACGACTTGACCGGAATACGTTTGCTCTTGTTCTCGTATAATTAGCGACGATCGTGGACCAAACAGCGAGGTAGATTAGGCCGTGACACAGGCGTGGCGAGGATTCGCATAAGTCATACGAGACATGTCATACCATGTGGTGCCGCACTGTCTCCTATTTCTTCCCGTGCAAAATTGCATTCTGCCATGACTGATTCTTCCTAGCTCGACTAACCCCTGTCAAGCTTCCCCGATGTTGTTCGCCAGTTGATATCGCTAGGCTTTCCTATTGCCTTTATGGCAAATCATCTTCGGGTCGCGTCGTTTGCATGAGAACTACGAACGTGTCCGAGAATCAAATTACGTATTTATACTTTATTGGGATTCCTCGTCTTCCTTCTCCTCCCTTCGCCCCGAATTTTCTTCCCCGACTTTCTGCCACCCCTCGTTTCCTCTTCTCTTCCTCCTGCTCCTGGCGGTCATCGATTGCACGATGATTATACGGATACGGTGAACGAGGATCAGCAAGCGTGTGCAGACGATCGATGCATGCGTCGAGGAAAAAACAAAAACTCGGAGAGCAAAAACTGGGTGGGAGGAAGGGAAAAGCGAAACGGATATCTATGTGAGATATTCACGAAATTGCTGACGGGACATTCGCGTGGAAAAATTTGTAATCGGTTCGTGGTAAGCTGATGTTTAAATTTCGGGGATAAATATCCCAGCGTGAAATTGTCGGATCTGCTCTCTACCTATGGAACACGCGATGTCATTAGACAGACTGAGAATGCATTTACGTGATGTCTACCCTTTCTATTCGCTTTATCTAAATGATCACCTGCGAATCGATACCATTGCAAAAACTCGATGATTATCAATATTGATTCGCCTCCGACTCTGCGTCACTCATTTTGCTTCGCTCCTCTGTCTCTTTCTTTCTCTTTGTCCCTCTTCCTCCCCTTTTCTATTCATTTCACTCGACTTTTTCGAGTTGTTTGCAATATTATTCGAAATAAGGGATTGTCAAAGGTAAACTTTCGAATCATTTGTACAAATTCTAGTGGAAATGAGTTATCCAATGACGGCTAGAATCCAACAACGTAGATATTTAACCCTTTGCACTTGAGAGTGAACCCTTTAGTTACCCTTTAGTTAATACAATTTTGAAGGTTGATATTAATTAATATACCAAACTTAAGATAATGTAACAGTGTGCGAGGTATCGAAATCAAATAATTCTACTTGTTGATTATTATCCTATTTCTTATTTATTGCTGAAAAGAATATTGTCAGCTACGTAGCAGAAAATCTTTGAATTTCTATCCTTCTTTAGTCAAAAATTGAGTACAAGAAGTTAATATCGTGATGCTAGGTTGCTTGAATTTGTCAATTTTAGTGTTATTTCTGATAAATTTGGGGAACGAACTTGAGGAAAGGGTGTCTTCTGCGAAGACAACCATGAAGAACGGCAAGGGATTTATCGCAGTTTTAGATGACTATAGACTCTTAATGATTTAAGCGTCTTTTTCTCGTTCTGGAACGAGAGTAAGGGAATTATTAAATTCGTTAATTACAGTAGTTCCTCCTATAACGCTTCATTTTAAGGCGATGTATCTGGATACTCGCATATTTTCGCCTATTCCAATTTCCCTGCACCCTCGTTTTTCGATGGTTCCAGTGAAAAAAATTGATTCGCGAATTTCGCGTTCGAATGATTCGAAACGAAACTCGTTCTGTCTCGGAGCTACCATCTTTAAGGTATTTTCCACTTTAAATCGTACGCGGTATAATGCGCGCTATACGACTATAACGGGTGGTTACGAAGAAGAAAACGCAAAATTATCGACGAGAAGATAAAATTTCGAAATTTCTCCAAAAAAATATGATTTCTGTATGATATGCTTTTTTAAGATTATGGTGTTCCATGGAATCCTCATAGGTGCAGGTGTTGGACGAGAAATTGAGATATATGGAGACCAGGAAGATGCTAGGGGTCGAATCGTTGAGTAGAAAACGTATTCGTTGTCCATTCGAATTCGTTGCATCCAGTGACACCGAGAGGGAGGGGGGGGGGGAAGAGTAAACTATACGATAATTAATCATTCAATACAATATTTCGAGGTCTGAATGCAAAATGGCTACGATCGATCCATCGCACTGCCGACGAAATGATTTTGTAACAAGGCTCTCCCGACAGTTCCCTCTCTCCCTCTCTCTCCGTCTAACTCTCTATCCACCTATATGACCATTTCTGTTCGTTCTCTCGATCTCTGCTTTTCTCTCTTCCTCCCCCTCGCCATTTCTCTTTTCGTCTGACGTTTGTTCGTTGGACGTCTGGTTCACGACCTCGTTCTATTCTTGCTGAAATTACGACGCTCTGTCGGGGCTGGTAAAGAGAGACTTGGCGCACTTATATTCGCAAGTGGAAACTGGTTGAACATCCTGAAACGCAAAAAGAAATCAGCTAATTACTCTAATGATCGAACTAACGAATTGCTACTTGTATCGCCCGGATCGGCTCACTTCCCCTCTCTACCCCCTCCCCCTCTTCCCCCCTATCACCGCGATAAATCAGTAAATATTTGGGAAATTTGGAGAAAATAAGTTATCGGCTAAAATTTCGGATCTTTTTCGTGGAGTAACGTTTCACGGTGAATAATGTAGCATGCGTGGCTAGTTTCTTCGTATTTTACTATCCGACTATCCGACGCGGATGACGTCGCGATTGGCGAAACGCAGAGGGATTAAAAGCGAGGTAAAGTGGGAGAAAAATTGAAAAGGCGAAGTAGAAAGAGAGATGGACGAAGGAAGAAGAAAGTCCAAGTAGAGTGGGTAGACGCTTTCGAGGAGTAGGCTCTATATTTATCGCGGCAATAAGGCGGCTCGAGGCCGAGTGTCGTCAAGCCAGAGGTCGGAGGGGAAACGGCAGTAGTGCGGGAAACGTCGGAGTGCAGACCGGCGTCGTCGGGACAATCGGTGGCCGTCGTTATCGTTAACGACGCACCATCCAATACCGTCGTCACTCTCTCCTATTTCTTTTCTCTTTCCTATTTCCTTTTCCTTCCCGGCTCTACCTACTTTTTCCTCTCACTTTTCTAGCATGTGCTTCTGTTTTACTCGAATCGCACGGCCATTCGACCGCTTAACCACCGAACCATCCAGCTATCCAACCACCCAGCCTTCCAACCTACCAGCCACCCAGCCAACCCGGCCAGCCGGCCACCCAGCCACCTAACCGCCCAACCACC